CAAATCAACCCCATCATTTAATTTGGGCAAATGAGGTGATTCCACAGTGTCCCAGTCTGAATATCTAGCAGGTTTCTCTGAGGATAAATAAAAGATGAAGCATTGGTTTGACAGTGTAATACTCTAGAGTGCATGTAGTTGAATTAATGCTGGTGTCTCACTCCCTGTAGCCTCTCATCATTGTGGCCAACAAATGTGATGTGAAGAAGATCAATGAGCTGTCTGAGGAGAACCAGGTGGGTGATTAATAGTTTAGAACAAGCCACTTGTTTTTTTTTTTTTAGTGACATCTAAATATTAAAGACAAAAATATGTTGTGTTTTTGCTGTCAGAAAATCTTGGCAGATCTCTCTGCTGAGGGAATCCCTGTGATTGAGACCAGCACCCTGACCGAGGAGGGAGTCATGCAAGTTAAAACTGAGGTGAGAGGCTGCACACTAGAGGCGCACTTTGTGCCCCGGAGAGGTTGAGGAACAAAGTGTATTTTGCATGTTATGGCTCATGGTCTTGTGTTTGTCAGGCCTGTGACCGGCTCCTTGCCAATCGCGTCGAGACCAAGATGAAGGGCAAGAAAGTCCATGATGTTCTCAACCGGCTCCATCTGGCCATGCCCACCAAGAGAGATGAAAAGGTAAATGCAGTCATTAACTCTGTCAGAAGGCAGAAAATTACAGTGTTTGTATTGAGCGGTTTTCTGACGTGAAGCCTTATTCTTTCTCTTCATTACCAGGAGAGGCCTCCGTTCATCCCAGAAGGAGCCTTGATGCGCAAGAAGGCGATGGAGGTGGACACACCCAAGCGTAAACTGGTATGTCCAGTGTTAACTTCAGGCATAAGTTCAAAGAGACAACAGGGATACAACAGCTCTCTGTATGGCTGCATGATAAAACATTTAATTGTTCATCTTGCAGGAGAGAGATCTGGAGATGGAGCTCGGCGATGACTACATTCTGGACCTACAGAGTGAGAAGTGTTTTCATTCCAACAATCAATTTGTAGAAAGTAAATGCTTGCATCTGCAATGCTGATATGGTGTTATTTGTTTTTATTTAAGAATACTGGGATCTGATGAACGAGGAGGAGAGGCATGATAAGATCCCTGAGGTGTGGGAAGGCCACAACATTGCAGATTACATTGATCCTGACATCATGAAGGTGAGTCTCTGCACTTCAGGAGTGGAAAATTGCCTCTAGTGTTCAAATCTCAGTGAGGCTCTTACCTGGTTAAAGAAAGTTACACATTTTGTGTAAATATATTCCCAAAAAACGACTTAATTCTTGGGACTTTATTCGCTTTCACCAAAGCCTGCACTGAACAACATGAAGGAGCTTTTATGTACCGATGGATGACAAAAAGGAAAAGGCCATATGAAGTGTCTCCGTATGTAGTCAGGCCATCACCAGCCTCCAGAACAGCTTCAGGGCTCCTCGCCAATTCTGTGGAACTCTGTTAGAGGGATAAACACCATTCCTCTACAAGACATTCCCTTATTTATTTATATATACCACCTTTATTTAGTCAGGTCATCTCACTGAGATCCAGAGAGACCTGAGTATATATATCTATATTGAAAGAAACACAACGCGGCCAGACACAACAAAAGCACAGAGCATCACTAAATAGATCTGAAGATGAGTTTGTTATATCATTTAGTCTTATGTTGATGGTGGTGGAGAGCATTGACTTACATGTTGGTCCCAAATCTTCCATAGGTGTGAAACTCACCAAAAACACTAAGTTTTGTTATCTCAGTGAGGCTTACCTGGTTAAACAAAAAGGATTCCTCGATTTTCTAGAAGAGCAAAGTTGAGGAATAGAAATGTGTCCGCCTTCTGAACGTCTCTGTCTTTATTTCCTCTGTCACAGAAACTGGAGGATCTGGAGAAGGAGGAGGAGCTCAAGGAGCGAGCTGGAGAGTACGACTCGGATGACGAGAGCGAGGACGAAGAGATGCAGGAGATCCGCGTTCTGGCCAAACAGATCCGGGAGAAGAAGCACCTCATGGTCGTAAAGTCCAAAGAGAAGGACGTGCACGGGCCCCGCATGCCCAGGACTGCTACCAAGGTGAGCGGGGCTGTGCCTTTTTTATTGGTCAATTTAAGCTGCCATGTTGGGATTGCTTCAGATTTGTAAAATGATCCAGTGTTTGGGGTCAAGTAAAGATAAAGAAGAGTTTAAACCACAATTAACCATCAGGTTTCTTCAACTTTCACTCTGCAGCAAAAGTGAACCTTTAAACTTGAAAGAAATAACGACTTGATTCTTATCCTGATAATTATCAATATCAAAAGATATGAAACTTTTTTTATCGTGATGACATTTTTGGCCATATCGTCCAGCCCTACTTAAACCCAATATACACATTTAAGAAGCTGAAATCAGAATATTTACTTTTTCTCTTAAAGTTCCCCTAATCGGCTAACAAAATAGTTGTCAATTAATTTATAGTTGACAACAAATCGATTAATTGTTGCAGCTCAAAATATCTCATACTGCATTCAACCTTACCTTGACAGTGTTTTTGATTTTATAAAATTTGATTTTATAAAATTTATACTCATTGCCTTTTGTGTGTGTTGTACAGGTTGAAAGAAAGAAGCTAGAGAAGGAGATGGGTGACCTCGGTCTGGACATGAATGACAAGGATGAAGTAAGTTCTTCCTTTAGATCAGAACCTACAGGATACATCGACTCGAATGTGGTATAATTGAATTAATCACATGGACTATATGAAATGAATATTAAAGTATAAAATTTAAACAAAGTCTCTGTCAATACAGTTATGACTACAGTATTATTGGACATAATTTGCACTTCCAAGTGACAGGGCTCTCATCCTGCTTCACAAAGTATTAAATAAAAACAATTGCACTTTTAGAACATGGGTATTGCTCTGAAGATTTTTAGAAATACGTTATTAACATCACCATAAACTTATTTCTTTTTTTTTTTACCTCTCCATCTAACACGACGTTTTGGATGGAAACATGGCTACTGACGCATTAACATTTTCCTCTTGTTCTTTCAGAGCCACTACGCACAGCAGGCCCGACGGTCCAGAAGCCTCACTAAGAAACGCAAGCGTGAAGCTTCTGCCCCTCCAACTTCCAAAACCCGCAGCCAGAGCGCCTCCCGTCCACCACGAGACCAGTCTGGTTTACGGGATCCAAAGGTATGTGACGGTGTTTTTAATCAGCTTTTATTTACTAAAATATGCTGCATTTTAATTACTTTGGTCTCTGGGTTTATGTAAACACATTTTCTGTGGAAGGCAACATGAAGTCATTCTTATAAGGGATGTGTAAATGTCAGTTCTGTCACAGTAGAAAAGAAGATTATCCCACAAGTTGGTTGATAACTGAAGGCTTTACTGTGGGTAGACTGAAGATAAACAATCTTTGCCATCTTGGTGCTACAAAATTAAATGGACATTATGAGGAAGGTTGCCTGTTGTTTTGGTGTAATATCTCCTTTGTCCTCAAAGTTAGTCTTTTTGCAATTAATCTGGTGACACTGATGTACGGCACACTCAATCCTAAATGTTATTGGCCAAATGTTCCAAGGGGGGAAAAACATGACTCCACCCCAAACACCACTAGATTGTTTTTTACGTTGTTTGCACATTAAAAAATAAAACTTCTGTATGTGATATATGTACACACACAGACATTCACATGTGCATGTTCAGGACTCATCAATGAGCATTCTAGCAGCATGGTGTAAAGTGTAAATTTAATAATAATGCACCAGTGCATTAAATAAATCCCTGGTTCTGAAAGTTAATTTGAAGAGAACTCATGTCAGTGTCTTCTTTTTTTGCTTCTCAGATGGCAAAGAAGGCAAAGAAGATGATGAAGAACTCCCAGAAAGACATGAACCGCCAAGGCAAGAAGGGAGAGGCAGACAGACATGTGTTTGACCTCAAACCCAAACACCTCCTGAGTGGGAAGAGGAAGTCGGGCACAAACGATCGCAGATAAAACAGCTTTTTCTGGACTGTTGAGACCTGGACACTTTTTTTGGAAAGAGGCTTTTGTGTGGAGTGTTTGTGTCTTCATTCTATACATTTTCCCCAGCAGTAAAAAGAAGAACATGAAATATATTTCTCTTTTTAAGCCATGAAACTCTGAGCATCATCCTTGAGGATGGTGGTGCCATAGAAAACTGTAAAGCTGCTGGGGAACTGCACCAACCCATTTAAAGGATTAGTAATTATAATAATAGGCTGTCTTATTTGTCCGCTCTGAAGCTTTAGCTCACAAAAGTAAAGTTTTTTATTTCTGCATTTGCCATGATCAAACTTATACCTATATTAACAAAATACATTTCAAATAATGTTCAGTAGTTAAACTGACTTGTATATGTTTTTCTCTTGGCAATAGCAGTTAAGTGAACTTCATGCCTTACAGCTTGTATGTGACTCAGGACATGCTGGGTTTACTTTGGATAAAGTGATAATGATACCTCCTTTACAAGCCTCCCTTTGAGACATATTTAAGGGAGCCAAATAAATATACATCTGAACTAAGCTGCAGTCTTAAGGTTGTCTATATAATGTGCTTTTATCATGAAAAACCAAAGTGGTTCCGGAATTTACCTCTGTGTTATTTCCTTTACCCCTTTCACCATACAGGTTATTAGTTGGAAATGTTGGTTATCATCCATCTATCGTCGTACTTCTGCGGTAGCATAACCCCAAACGTTACATTCGAGATGGCTATCAGATAAAACGATTTCATTTGAGCGTTTCCTTTCTTCAGACTGAGCTACACGTGTGGTAATTCGGCAAACCATAAAATTCCATTAAGTAATCGTCGGATATGTCCAGATAAACTATTGAACCGTCTAAGTGCTGGCGTATGGTAATACCATTGAGGGTAATACCCAATAAAACTAGCCGGTTGTGAGTGAAGTGTGGTCGGAAGCGATGCCACGGCGGAACCAGGTAGGCTTTGTCACTTTCAACATTTGGCTTTTATTGTGAAAAAACGCGTGCCGGAATTGGCTTCGTTATCTTTTGTCACGTAGCGGAGCTCTTAAACTGTCAACACGGGTTCTGGACAAACCGTGCGCTGCTTTCTCACATTTTGAAGAAAATGATACAAAGGGCGACACATCCCTCAAAATCCCGGAATACATCTTTGTATTTGTAGACTTTCTGGTAAGTTGGATTCCATGTTTGGCAAGGTTGTCTTTCCGTTAGCCTATTAGCATGCTTGACACCACCACAGCTAATGAGGATAACGGCGGCTTTGCTTAGCCTACTGCTAAACAATTGCGTTGTAACAAGGCTAACATTTTCAAGACTTGCTAATAACGGGAATGTATTCACTCATAATGTTCCTTTTACGTATTTCGCCCCCTCAATGTAGCACAACGCCATGTAGCGTAAATGTTGTAATCAGTGCCCTCACATCTTTAGGTCACAGTGACAGTCAGCAAGAGGAACTGAGATGTCAGACAAGGCAATTCCTTTATTCAGCAGAAAGAGACATTAACGGATGACAGAAGCGGTGATGTACAGGCTGGCTGGTGATAGAAAAACACCAGATATTTTTGTCTAGAGACCTTAGGTCAGCTCAAGGGTAAGGATTTGTTACAGCTGTTGTCAGGCTCATGTCATAATACAGTATGAGCATCCATAAAAAGTGTCCTGTCATCCTAAAGATTTACATTCACGAAGACATCACTCTCAGGAGATTATCGATTAATCTAATCGATAATGAAAATCGTTAGTTGCAGTTACAAGTAGGAGTGTTAAAGATATTGATCAGTTTTTCTCATGTATCATTAAAATAGAATGAGAACATTAAAAAAGTCATTAACAAGTTTGTTGCCCACATTAACACTGCAAAAAATATTAATGATTTATGAAGTACAAAGATTAGTTGAAAATAATCCAACAGTTTCAAATCATTTAAAAAGCAAAATGCATAAAATATTTACTGGGTTTTACCCATTTAAATGTGATGATTGCTGCTTTTGTCTGTTTTATGTCATTCACACCTTTGATAAAAGCTTTGACAATGATTGTAGATTAACAGAAAATTTATTTTTTTGATGGTCAAAGTCATTTAAAAAAAAAAAAAATCTAAAGTGCCAAAAATGCACTGATCTCAACCTCTCTAATGGGAATCTTTTCTGCTTTTCTTTGATAGTAAACTGAATACTTCTGGGTTTTAGACAACTAAACTCAACAACTTTGAGTCCTGGAGAGATTTGAAGGACAAACAAACAATTAAATTTAAAAAAAAGAATTAATTATGATAATTGTACATTCCATCCTTAAGTTAAATACTTTTTGATAGGACTGTAGACTAACTTGATTAATCACTTAATTGAAATTTAATTCAGATTCATTGTTAGTAAAAAGAATAATTTGTTGCAGCCTTACTAACAAAATGAAAATCCTCACAGTCCAATGTGATGACTTGGTGACTAGACTTTGTGAAGTGATTTTGTTGACCCATAGCTAAATGGATAAGTTATCAGAAGAAGGTGTTCTGAATATTGAATACATTTTTTCCGTACACATTTCCCAGTCCTGTTTCATCTGTCCCAGTAATCCCTCATGTTTCACCCTCAGGTACCCACAGAGGGTTTGCCGAGCCTCAAGCAACACTCTGTTTCACACTCGTTCATTTTCTCATTTCACACATTCACACGTGGAAGCTGCCAAATATAACCACTGCTTATGCTTTCCACGGCCCCTAGATTATTTCAACCAGGATTTCACTTTCTTCCCTGTGATTTTGTACTTTCAGACTGTCATCAGGTTTGGAAGGAGGGATGCCGGTGGAGAGCGGGAGCAGCGGCGCCGCCCGTCAGGCCAAACAGAAGAGGAAGTCCCACAGCCTGTCCATCCGCAGGACCAACAGCACCGAGCAGGAGCGCTCTGGTCTGCAGAGAGACATGCTGGAGGGACAGGTGAAGACTCACTCATTTACAAAAACACTAGGAAAAAGTGCGGAGAAAGTACTTCTATAGTTGGAAGTGTTAACTACACTCCTCCCATGTCTGTCATCATTAGCTTGCTGTCCTGCTGTCCCTGTCTGCACCCATAAGCACTCTAGTTGTAAGCCTAAGCCAATTAGGTTTTAATACACTCGTTTAGAGGACACATAATGGTTTATATTGTTGCTGGCTTCAGCATGGCGCAATTACTGCATGATTACTGTAAGGTTATTTTAACTCAGTGTTTAAAACAGATGGATTCAGAACAGGCTTAGGCATTGTCACTGGTGGATCGGTTAGATAAGTGGTGCTTATTCCTGATTCTCAGGCCCTACCTAGTTTCACTCTGGCCAACTAATAAGGAACTGAATTGTTCCTTGGATGCTGGGTACACAAAGTTATCAGGAAAGATATTAAAGAGCCATAGAATTAAAGATTGGCTGCTTAGTAGGGGTGGGAATCTCTGGGCAAACGATTATCGATGCCTCTTGATGCATAATTTTTTTTTTTCTATACAGCATCTCTGGATAATTACTAAGCATTTAATTTGCACATTAAAATCCTAATAAAACATCTCCTAAGTAGCTTAAAAGGACTAGTTTGCATCCCTAATTTACTTCATTAACCTCAGCTCCTTGGTCCCTCATTTCTTTAACAACCGGTTGTCAGAATCCTCTGAAAACTGAAATATTATCAGGATGTACAGCATGTGTACAGGACAGAGCTGTACACCAGTTTAGTCTAAGCTTGTGCCTGATGTTCTCAACCCTGGACAAGTAGGCAAGTTAGTAATGACATACTAATTCCGCTTACGTTACCTAACAGCCAAAAAACATGCTGTTACAGCTGTTGGGGAAACTACAGACTTTTATTAACAGACACACAGTGACCTACACTGCACGTTTACTACCAGACAAAAACTTACTGCTAATATTTTTGTCCGCTAACTTTCACCGTCGGGCTCTGCCGCTCGCTCTCTCTCATTCGCTTGGCCCCATATACAGGATAGGGAGCTAGGCAAGCATTGAGTGTCACCATGCTCGCACACTGTGCGAGTTAAAATCATTACTTGCGCATTGTTATTAATGACATTTTAGCAGGGTGGTTATTCATTCTGCAGCGGTGGTGTGCTGAATATAGGAGGAACACCGGTCTCTCTGTTATGTGCACGCCACAGACAGTCCAGGTGCTATACTTCCACACATTCCATCTTTTGTGTTCACTCAACATTACTCTATCAATTGACATTTAAATAATCGATATTTGTTAATCGAGTCAGAATCTTCCACATCCATATCGCAATGCATCTAAGAATCAATTTTTTTCTCCCACTCCTACTGCTTAACACTTGATTACACATCATACTTGTAGAATAGGGAAGGTATCTTTCATATCTCCACTTTGAGTATAAGCTCTGTGACATTTGTTGCACATTCCAAAGCCAAAGCTGTTGATGTCATCAAGAGTTACTTTCTCAGACTTGACCAAGCTCATGCAGACCCACAGAAGACGTCATACTCTTTTCACAGGCTCTGCAGTACTCCAATTATAAAAGACAGGTTGCATAGTTTGTTGTGTCATGCTAACTGGAGATCAAGTAAGTATGGATTAACGTTGTCTTGCGGGAGCCAGAACACACAATATCATAGTTCAGTTTTTTGTTTCTGTTGTCCTCTGTTAACTCAAACTCATAACATTTATTGCAGGGTTTTGATGCACTTGTGATGTATTTATATTTTCTTGTTTGTTTTTTTATGTCCTAACCTTGAAGAAAGTTTCATCTCAGCTAAAAGTAAAAATTTAAAGTAAATTTGAATTTGCACAAATGTTAGCATGACTGTTTCAGCTACTAAAGTTGATTATTAAACATACTAAAAGTAGTTGAATAACAGCTTTTCCATTTATTCAGGGTCTGCTTCAGTCAAACTCCGAAGCTAACCTGAATTAATTAGCATTAAGGTATTTCTTTTGAATTATTCCTGGAACTTTTATACAGCAAGAGAATTTGGACACTAAACCTCAGTTTAAATTCCCTGCAGTCAGGGCCCGTGTAATAAGGTGCTACTTTCTTACTGAAAAGGCAATGGATGTTTCACAGTAGGAAAAACACAGGTGTAAATAATAACATTATGGATGACTGAAAACCATTTTAGCTGCAGTCTTACTGGGACCCTTGACTGTAACAGAGGCATCGTTAGAAGTGTCATGTCAGAAGTGGCATGTCAGAAGTGGCACCTGAGTGTCTCATGCTATGAAAAGTCAAAAATGTTTGCTGTGAAAAAGGCACATTATTGAAAATGAGACCCCATGGTGCACGTATGGGAGGTAAAACCTACAGTCCCACTTGGCCTGTCTCAAGGAGCTATTTCTAACCGAGCAGACGGGGTAATCCCATCCTCATGACTTATTGTTTTTTCACTCTGGTCCCTTTTGGTCCCAGTCCTCTGATAATCTGGAATCCTTCATGAGAATGGAGGTAAGTTTCAGGTGTAACTAAAAATTAGTGTAGAGCTAGCTAGCTTTAGTTGTATGTGTTTGGTGTAGTTTAGGTTTGATTAGTATTTAGAGGTGTGGTGGTTCTGGAAGTGATTTCTCTAATTTGAATCAACAAATCCTTTCTCCTTAAAATGTGATATTCTAGATGTTCCAGCAACATTTGAGGTTCAGTCACGCACACAGCAGGTTTTCTTTTGCTAGTCTTAAGAGGACGATAAGTTGACTGTATTTTGTAGCTGGTGCAGTTACATATATCATATAACACATAAATGAGGGCACATTACCCAAGATCACTTGACTCACAATTCTCTTGTTCATTGGACGGTCTAGTAACCTGAGGTGAGTTCAATCTCAAAACGTTTAGCACCGGTTTGCAACGTTTTCGGATTGAACGATATGTTTCCTTGAAACGTTGTGCTTATAATGACCCAAGACCATGTTTACAATATGACCAACTCTTAATATTAGTGTAAAAGTATTAGATAGATAGAACATGAATTCATGTTTTCTTTTCAGTTAAAGTTTGCGCTCCACCTGGATAGAAACTTAACGTCAGAGGTGCATACCACTTATAGGGATACTCCTATAATTCTGGTGTGATTCTCATATTTTTGTCCCAACATGTGGGCCATGACAACAGAGGAGCAAAAGCCTCGTAACAATCATCGCTTGTGGAAGTAGTTCTGTTCTTACATGCAGCTCGCTACGACTAAGTAGACTACTACTAGTTTGGAGCAGCGAAGCTGCTGGAGCCCTTCTTTCTTCTTTTTCTCCACTAAAAGTGGGCAGCAAAAACTGATCAATGAAAACTCACCAAAATTGGCAGGTAGGTTGTAAATTCCACCAACTACTCAAGCAAAATACAATACACTCATAGACCTCATGATGGCGCTATTACGTTTTTGCAATTATCTCGAAAAAGGCTTCGTTTAGAGTCAAACTTCTTTCATTATTTTAATCTCTGGATTCAGCTGCATCTTTGCTTCATTGGTCTTCTGCTCTAAAATCATCTACGGACGTCGCTTATCAAAAGTTACTTACGTTTCTGTTCACTTTTCTTTATGTACAATTTTACATAAACGCCCGTAAATCAAAATTGGCTTAATCTATTGTAACCAAACCAACTACCAAAATCAAAACAGACATTCTCTAGATTGCAGCTATCAAGTGTTTCAAAGAGTTCAGATCAGTCAAACAGTGAGTCTGCAGTGATACTCAGTATCTTGCCATGAACTGACAACACACCCAAAACCAGCAGAATGATGAGTGATTTTGTTCAGAATTTTCTCACCAACATCTTGACAGTTGTAAGCGTTTTAAGTTTAAACTGACAGAACTATCCGGGTCAGGCACATGTGACTTCACTACCTCAACTTGTGAGAAGGTGTGTGGAAACAGCCTCTCACCAGTGGCTCAGTCAGTAAGTCACCTGCTCTGAAGATCTGAAGTTCCAGACTTCAAATCTCCAGGTGACAGAGTCAGACTTGCTGACAATGGGGTTGTTCAGATCATAGTGAGTCTCTACTTGATTTGGATCCTGTGACACTTTCTTCTTTTTTTTTTTCTCTGCCAAAAATAATTACCATGGAAACACAAAATGTTGCAGGTGGGTTGAACATTTCACCCAGTAGTCAGGTACATATAATGACACTCTCTGATCTCAAGGCGATGCTGTAAAAATCTAAATTCTGTCTTCACTTTAATCTCTTAAGTCATCTGCACCTGTTCTTCTCTGAAAATGTCAAATGTAGCGTTTTTCACGACTTGCCTGGACCCCGATCATTGCCTCTTGCAGCTATATTTTTGTTTTGTTTTTGGGGCTTGTGCTATTTGCACTAATCAAAGTTATTCTTGCAAGAGTCTGTTTCCCAGATCTCTGTACTGGATGCAGTGGAGAATAAAATGTTTTTATGACCATAATGCACACAAATATGGGAAGAATTTGCTGAAATGACCATTAGACCTGAGTGCAGTGTTACCCGTAAATCCATGTGGTTTTGTGTTGCGTCCCGTAGTTGATTGGGATAATATTTGTCGTGTGTTATAATAAACAATGCTACTGAACAGAACATTTATTTTTCAGGCGTCTGATTTCATATATTTGGGTCATTACTCTCACATAAACAAAATCAAACAAGCAAATGCTACAAATACGTTTCTCTACTCTCAATATCTTCATAGAATGAGTCCCACATCCATTTTCAACCTATGCCAGGCCTGCAACATTCGTATGTCATTGTGTAACCCCCCCGCCCCACCCACCCCGCCCCTTATGCTGCAGCCTTTCCTCTCAACTATCCTGATCCCACAAACCTTTCTGCTGCCAGCGCCTGCCTGTGAATGCTAACAGCACACTTGAATGGTTTCTTTAGAAAATATAGCTGCGGGCAGCAATTCAGCCCAAGAAAGAGTGCATTATGCAAAGTACACTCAGGTACAAAGAGGGCTCCGCACACTGAGCAGTTCCATCATGATTGGACAAAGCTTTGAGGAGCGATGGCCCACTTCCTGTTTGTGTCTTTGCTGCTGAGTCAAAGCAAGACTGTCTCTAATAAACTGTGTCTGTTGCAAAACTGCGGAGATGTTAAAACTATTGACTGACTGCTGTAATAGACTTGTGACTCCATAAGCAGGACACATCATTTCAGTTTTAAGTAAGTATTGATGTTTGTTTTGAATGGGGTTTAAATGGGTTGAAAATTACATTCAGTCCACATGCAAATTAATTATGAAAACATCATTTGTAGTAGAAATAGTTTTTTTGTTGCATAAAGCTTATTATTATGAGTTGTGGTCATCACAAGAGGACTTAGTGTAACTTTTACTAGTAAACTAAATGACTGTCTTGCTGCATGCAGCAAGCCTAAAATTCACTTTAAAGTGATGAGCTTCTTTTAAAAGCATTTGTGTGCTTGCATTGAACATCTCCTGCTCTTTACCCTATTGGGTAATCTCATGATCCTGAGATGGTGTAATATATATCTAATAATTTGGTGCATGTCACACCACAAGCAGTATGTGAGTTTTGAATACTTAAATGAGACTCTGTGTATAATTAGTTTGAACATATTCAGAAGTTGGTGCTCTGTAACCCTCATTCTTTCCTTTAATGGATTAATTCCTTTCAGTAATATGCTTTGTATAAAGGCTTGTTGTGTAGGCTTCCAGAAACTCACCCGACTCTCATCAAGTTATTTTTTCTGACCCTGTGATTTGTATTTATTCAACAAGTTGAGACTTGGTGGGTTTTCTTTAAAAGGCGTTTTGCACATCAGCAGATAAGCATTTGGTATGAACTGCCAAGAGATTCGCTTTCCAACTGTGACCTTAGTACTTTGTCTGTCACCTCTTTCGACCTTTATATTCTTCACATGTATGCCCTTTTTTCAGCCTCAATACATCTGTACACATACGGCTGAAACAATTAGTTGATTAATCAATTAGTCAATTGAGAGAAAATTATTCTGCAACTATTTTGATAATCACTTAATTGTTTCAGTAATTTTTCAAGAAACATTCACTGGTTATAGCTCCTCAAATGTCATGATGTGCTGCATTTCTTTGTCATAGATAATACTAAAATACAACATACTTGGGGTTTTGGGCAGATTGTCAGATAAAACAAGGAATTTAATGCCACTTCACACTCTGTGAATTTATAACAGGTATTTTCACTATTTTCTGACATTATATAGATAGAACAGCTCTTCGAGAAACTCATCGGCAGACTGATTGATAATGAAAACACTTGCAGCCGTACACAAACACTCCAACTAGTCCTCTACTCAGTATTTGAAGTGAAGCAGCAGCCTCACCCAGCTCTGCTCAGTGATGAACCCATGTTTCCAGGTGGTTTCATGCTCTCCTTTTCTGTCCCTGCAGGACTCCAAACTGCCTCTGTCTCTGAGGAGCAATCTGCTGGACCTGTTCAGTCAGATCGAGAGGGAGTTTGAAAACCTCTACATAGAAAACCTGGAATGTAAGTTGTCATGAAGGCAAAACGTATTTGTTTTGGTTTTAACTGTGGTCTGCTAAACATCACCGTAGATAGAGCCAGTCTACCTAGAACAGCTGGAGGCTTCTGTGTTTATGCACTGTGCAGATGGACGGGGACAAACTCCTGCTGAGTGCCTCGCTGGACAGCACTTTAACTGTAATTGTTGAATTTTTCCTAGTCTTGTTGGGGTGTCAAACACAGCTTCTATTTTTCTACACAGTGTACTCTAGGACTGCAAAACTCCATTGTTTTTTAAATTCAGTAAGACCATTTTAATATTTTTAATTGGCATTAAAGAGCAAGGATACATCTATAAATGATTATAAAAGTCGGCCATCTCTCCTAAATTCAACAACTATTTGACTTTTTCATAAGAATGAACATTTGGATTTGGTTTTGCAATTAAAGTAAACAACAATTGCTTAACTTAGATAGAAACTGATTTATCCCATTACAAGCACAAACATCAACATGGTGTCAGTCCTGTGTCTCGCTCCAGTCTCAGAGGCAATTGCTGGACTTTTCAAGCTGAATAGTTTCTCTTGGTGATCTGCTCGTGGAACAAGTATCTTATTGACTTGCTAGCCAGCTAACATTTACACACAATGTTTTGTTTTTCTGACCTGAGCCTCTCAGGTAGGTTTTTATAAGCACAAAGCTCCTTCTCTTCCATGGCAAGTAACCTGGTCTGAACATGGTAGCAATGATGGCAAGGAAACCCGTGCTGTGTTGCGGTGCAGAGTGCAGTTGGTTACTGCTGACAGTATTTTAACACATGACCTGTTTGACTCTCAGTACGCAGAGAAATCGAAACGCTGAACGATCGTTTGGCTGCAGAAGGACAGACTTTCGAAGGGGCAGATTTAGCCAAAGGAGCACTGAAAACAAAAGGTGAGACACATCTCATATCAGGGCCATGGATGTTTGCACTTTAAGTGTACTAACTATTTGAAATATTGTCTGTATGTCTTTATGGATTACTCAACTCCACCAAAGTAAATTCTTTTTTTATTGCACTTTTTTTTAGTTGTTCTCTTGTCATCATGAGTTCATACCTTTTAATTCTGACAATCCACAGCGAGTCATAGCACCAGCCAGCTGTCACAAAAACTAAAGACGACCTACAAGGCTTCCACAAGCAAGGTAAATACTGTTTTATTTTTCCAGGCCAAAAAATGAATATTATCCAGAAATTTGTAAATCATTGTTGTACATATTATACGTATTATGTTGAAGCCTGCCTGTGTAGGTGTGTGTTTTAGATTTTTATCAAAGCATTGTGAGGTTTGAGAAAATGTTGATTTGAATCAGTCTATTGACATGTACAGTATCATGTCAGTGTTTCCCATCAATAAACGAGACCATGGCAGCCCGCCACAGTCTAATATATTCCGTCATAGTTTCAAAATGAACCGAAAATATTTTTACACATCTCATTATAACATTACAGACCTGTAATGTGTTTTGTGGGCGCTGCTGTAAGCTTGCACGCTCACACACTTTGGTATCTGACTCGAGACAACCACTTTTCTTTTGAGGTAACTATTGTAACATTAACAGTCTTTCTGTCACTCGTTTGTGAAAAGGCGATTAAGCTAGCTAAGCCTAAATTTGAAATGCACACGTATTCATGCCTTTATGGTAAATCTACTGAAATGGACCAGAGCGAGCTGACAGGCAGTTTGGTAAAGTCTCTTAAAATCCTGTGGGAAACACTGCATGTAGAGTAGAATACAAAATGTAAAAAAGACTGAATTGGTAAATTAGCTTCATTGTTTTCTAGCTCCTTAGTGTTTGATCACATGGCTTTAGAATGTTAAAGGGAAGGACTGCTGTCTGTTTTGTTTTTTTTACCTTTTTGCTCGTAGCCGCGCTCAAACTCTTGCCATGCCAGAGTAGGTGGATCCCGCAACTTCAACGTAACCAGTTGGGAGTTGTGGGGTGGAGACTCATGGGTAATTTGTTGATTTCTCCCCCTTGTGTGCCAATATGCATGAACAGCCCAGCCAGGGGGTCGGCACTCCCTCCCCCAGAGACTTGGTCATTCAAATGTAGGAGTTTGAGCTTTTCTATCAGTTTCTGTGTGAGATAAAACACAACTTTATTGTCTCACTAACAGGCTTCCTCAGTTGCACCACATTGGTTTTGATTTGGCTACTTATTGGCATTCACATAATGGTACACTAAGGAGACATCTTTAACACGAAGCAGTTGTTACCGCAAAATGCTTTTTGTGCCTTGATTAATAAAATACTCAAGGTGGATGAGCATTTTTTGGCTGCTTTATATCATTGCTCAATGAAGGCGGAGTGTGTGGTCTGCTGGAAAGTGCTTCGCTCTTTCAGATTTTGTTTAGTCTTTTTTTAAATCCTTTTAAGATCAACACTTTCACTGTGACTTTCACTGAGATGTGAGCACACTGTTAACAGAAATGCATCAGATATAGTGGCTTTAAAGAAGTCGGTGCAAAAAAACACATAGACATAGAAACACATTTTCACACTGCTAGTTGTGTCTAGCCATCTAAATATAGTGTGTGTTTTATTTGCTTAAGGTTATTGGTTGGTTAGCCCAACCAATACTGGATTTTGGAAGCTGATACTGATATTTGAGAGTTTGAAAACCTGCCCAAGATATAGTTTGTACTGAGAGGGACATTTTACAGTTGAAAAATAAACGTTTGAGTGTTTTCTGATGGACAAACTATATAATGGAGACACTGTTTCTAAAATAGCTCAAACATATCTTTGGCATTTCTCTACTGACTATTCTTATTGGTCGACATTTTGCTGCAATAAGCTTATATCAGCTAATATTGATGATCATAAAGGAAAATAAGTGCTAACTTTTGCAAGGCTGAAAGTCCATCCTGATAGCTGATTTATTGATAGGAAATTAATTTTAAAACAAGCAAAATCTTGACGTGGCTCTAGCGGACTGCACACTGAAGCTTCAAACTGTAGAGCATTAACTGCTGGGTGTGTTAGATTCACTGCCCAGCCAGTTACTTAAAGCTTATTTTGCGGTGCTTTGCGCTTCTTTTATTGGTGCATCTGTGTTACACTTAAACAAGGCCATCATGATTCTCCGTACAACAGAAGACTCACATATTTCTGCTCATCCAGAGTCAACATTTGACTAACTGTCACATTGTCACACTGCATTTACATCATATGACAAACCATAACTGAGCAAAATCATGTTGCATTTACCATGAATGAAACAAAAGCCATGCCGCTTTACATCGATGTGTTTTACAAGAGAATCTGCCGTGCTGCTTGCTAACAACCAGCAACCACTGGTTCCCACAATGCTCGGTATCTTTCATCATATCTGCAGTGTTAGTTTTTATCTGTTTGATAACAGACAAAGAAAATGTGAAGGATGTACTTTTCAGATGAATGATGTCATTCTTTATGCTCTCCTGCTTCCTTTCAGTTGGAACTTATTTAGTGGTCTATGTCCAAAACGAACCAAGAGTCCAGTTTGTATCATCCCCATCTTTAATGTAAACACTTTGAGCAAACTTTGATCCAACTGATGATAATTACTGATCAATTTCTGTCTCACCATAACTCAGTATTTTTTGCCCCCCTCTCTAGATTGTTCTTTTCTTTATTATGGTTTTGCATTTATAGTAATCCTGGTATGATAAATGCACTATACTACTGATATCTAATGCGTCTGCATTTGTTTTGATACCAGATCTGGGTTGACAGGTCATTGATGGTGTTTGTTTTAAAGCACTTGAAGCATCAGATGGCTGGGGTATACGACAACCCCCACCTAGCATGTGCTCAGACGGGCTTAAAACAAATACCAATAAAGGTTGTTGTGTAAAACATCTCAAACCCAGGACTGATATGAATAACGCTGTTGTAAACCAAAGCTTCTTAGCCCTGGCATACTACAAGGACCCTGCTGAGCAGCTACAATGTTATCTTCAGTTCTGCAGACCTGCTTCTTCCCCCCCATCAGACCAGGGTTCCTACACAGCTCTGGAAAGTTCTGGAAAATTAGAACTGGATCATTTCCAGGCCTTAAAATGTTTGGGAAATGGGGAAATTTTGAGACCCTCATATTTTAATGTAAAAATGGCATTCTCCTTTAAAAAAAATAAAGTTTATGGATTTGATGCAATTTCAGCGACATTTAACATTAAGGTTACTATTTAAAAAAGAAACCGTAATCATCTCAAATGATGACCAGTGTTGTGTCTTAATCACCCAAAATGACAACTTCCAGTCCTCAATTTTACCAAAAAGTCTAAATAACCCCTCAACAAAAAGATGTAGAAGATGCCATTTTGAGAATTTAAATGTGTATGAACCCTGTTAGGTTCAGTGTGAGGCTTAGATTTCCTTCTGTGTTAACGTGAGTTTGATGTCGGTGTCAGATTGTGTCCAGTTTCAAAGCAACCACGTCCAGAGCAGTGTGCCAGCTGCTCAGGGAGTATGTCGGCCACAGAGATGGCATCTGGGACCTGAGCGTCACCAGGACACAACCTGTGGTTCTTGGTACTGCATCTGCTGGTATGTCACTCTTTTTCATCTGCATTTTCTTTCCTGCAATGAGTAAATTTCTCCTCAAATGTCTTTTTTCCCCAGGCTTTCTATTTTGTATTTGGCTTACTCTTATGTTTTCCTTGATTAATAAAATACTCAAGGTGGATGAGCATTTTTTGGCTGCTTTATATCATTGCTCAATGAAGGCGGAGTGTGTGGTCTGCTGGAAAGTGCTTCGCTCTTTCAGATTTTGTATTTTCTTTTTTAAAATCCTTTTAAGATCAACACTTTCACTGTGATGTGAGCACACTGTTAACAGAAATGCATCAGATATAGTGGCTTTAAAGAAGTCTGTGCAAAAAAACACAGACATAAAAATATATTTTCACACTGCTAGTTGTGTCTAGCCATGTAAATATAGTGTGTGTTTTGTTTGCTTAAAGTTTCAGATATTACTCTCTCACATTTCTGCCAGAGATTTAGCCCAACCAATACTGGATTTTGGAAGCTGATACTGATATTTGAGGGTTTGAAAACCTGCCCAAGATATAGTTTGTACTGAGAGGGACATTTTACAGTTGAAAAATAAATGTTTGAGTGTTTTCTGATGGACAAACTATATAATGGAGACACTGTTTCTAAAATAGCTCAAACATATCTTTGGCATTTCTCTACTGACTATTCTTATTGGTCGACATTTTGCTGCAATAAGCTTATATCAGCTAATATTGATGATCATAAAGGAAAATAAGTGCTAACTTTTGTTTTCTGTATCTAACACCTCTTTATTCTACTCTCTGAAGGAAAATGTGTATTTGTTTCTTTCTTAGATTAAATAGCTTCTCTCTGTTTTCACAGTGTCATTGCTGATAATGTCAATGTCCCTTTTCAGAGATGTATATCTTATTTTCATTTAATGTCTTATTGAGCCGAGAAAACTGTTAATTTCATGCTAGATTTAAAAGGTAACTTTAAAAACTGGTATTTTTCAACCTGAACCAGGATTCTTGTGGGCAATTGCACCCCGTCAAAGTACATCCACTAAAGCACTTGTTTTTATAAGTGTCTGACAACATTATGGAAGTAATCCCTACAGAGAGAGACCTTTTCTTTTAAGAGTAAGATCCGTTTTGTTTAACCAAAAAAAGTTGCCAGATCGGTCTTGTCAAAGCCACCAGACTCCTTTGACAAAAAACATAATTTTACCTTTCTGTCTTGGTTAGTATGTGTAATTGTGTGACTTTGGTGTTTTTAACCCTTTAAAACACTGAATTACCGAACAGAAGACCTGCAACTCCTGTGTTCTGAAAAAATTACTGATGATGATTTTGAAAAGAGTGATATAATTATCTTATATCAGTAGCAAAAACAAGCACTTTAGTAGATGTATTTTGATGGGGTGCAATTGCTGTTTTGCTGCTGCCAGCTGCAGCATGCTCGCTCAATACTAGATCAATTTCAAAAAATATTGTCCCAGTTAGTCACATAGATACAATAACACACTGTATTCTGTACAGACCATAAACAGTCAAACACCTCTGTATGCATCTGATATGCACTGTAAAACTACTGTTGAATGTAGACAGTAGTAAAAATGCTGTAACTCTAAATTGTGTTTTTCTCCCCATAATGTGTGAACAGACCACTCTGCGATGCTGTGGAGCATTGAGACAGGAAAGTGTCTCCTCAAATATATGGGCCATCAAGGATCAGGTAGTTAAGAATTTATAGTCCATTTATAATAATAGATCTAATTAAATTCACTAATACTGTGCTCATAGACAGAGCCTCTCTTCACGACTATTCCACACTATTTTAAATTAAAAATATTCTTAACATACATTAAAACAACATGTTTGCCAACATTCTGAACTGCTGAATCCCAGTTTAAATCCCTACCACTCAGTATTATAAAGTTGTTGTGAATATACACTGCTAAAAAAAACCTAAGGGAACACTTAATCATCACAGTATAACATTTACATTTATTCATTTAGCTGACGCTTTTATCCAAAGCGACTTACAGCTGCTAAATATGTCAGAGGTCGCACGCCTCTGGAGCATCAGATCGCTGACCGGAAGCTTCCCGCTCTGGAGAGGTATATCCTTGGCGGGTCGCCTCCAAGTGCTAGCCAACAGTACCCCGACTGCTGTAAGGGTACCACGATGACTAATAAACTACCTTGTACCTTGAAATCCTGGTACGTTACAGCAGTCGGGGTAAGGTCTGACCTAAACTTTTGCAGTGAGCTCTGGGTTCATCCTGGTGCAGAACAATGCCCGGCCTCATGTGGCCGGAGTGAGTAGGCAGTTCCCGGATAAAGAAGACATTGATACCATAGACTGGCCCTCACGTTACCCAGACCTGAATCCAAGTGAGAACCTCTGGGACTGTCCAGGAGCTCATTGAAGCCCTGATCCAGGTCTGGGAGGACACCATCCGCCATCTCATGAGCATGCCCAGAAGTTGTCGGGAGTACATAGAGGCACGTGGGGGCCAAACACACTGCTGAGTCACATTATGAGTTCCCTGGATGAAAGTCATCAGGTTGGATCAGCCTGTGATTTCAGTTTTTTACTCAGTGTGATTTTGAATCCAGCCCTCAGTCAGTTGGGGGTTTTGGTTTCCATTGACTGTTACATAATTTTGTTTTCAACAAATTATACAATGTACAGCAACGATTTTGAACTATTATGTTCATTGAGGTCTGATGTGTGATTTAAGTGTTCTCTTAATTATTTTGAGCAGTGTAGTTACAGTACATTAGTAGGAAACAGTGTCTGTTATACCCTGATGTAATACATCTGTGTTTCTGTCTCACCAGTCAACTCCATCAAGTTCCACCCCACTGAACAGATGGCTCTGACAGGTAATGATCCAAAACTAAAACATCCTGGAAATCCTCGTTGGTAGCAGCCTCATCAGTGGTTTTCTGCACATGTATTTACCGCAGCAGCTGCTCTCACAGCTGCAAAAATACAATCAGAATGAAATCTTGCAACCCTAACTGGCAATGGGTGCAAGATTGAAATGTCTGTCAAAATGAGACTGAACATCACATTAACATTTCAGAACACGTTATTTTTGTTGGCCCTGTTACCATAAGCAATGTTTTAATGGAACTTGTCAATTATTCAAATTTATTTTTAAATTATGTTGTTTTACCCACGTGTTTTAGCCACAAAGTATCACTGTGGACACAGATGTTGGACTGCCTTTACTCTGACTCTTTTGTTGTTTGATAGAGATTTTGAAGGAAGGGTTGTCCCGATACTCTAACTTTTTGCCGCATCGCTCTCCTCCTCAGCCTCTGGAGACCAGACAGCTCACATCTGGAGATACATGGTGCAGCTGCCAACTCCACAGCCTGTTGCTGATATCAGTGTAAGTATTAACTGCACTACGTGTGAAAGTTTTTTTTGAGTTGTTCCTTTTCGTTGTTTCTGAAACTTCGTCCCGCCCTCCCCCGACAGCAGCAGACACCCTGCGAAGACGATGTTGACTTTTCGGATAAAGATGAGGCCGACGGCGAGGTTGAGGGTCCAAACGACTGTCCTTCTGTCCGTGTGGCGACCACGACTCTGCGTAGCCACCAGGGTGTGGTGATTGCTGCTGATTGGCTGGTGGGGGGCAAACAGGTTGTGACGGCCTCCTGGGACCGAGCCGCCAACCTGTATGACGTGGAGACCTCAGAGCTGGTCCACTCACTCACTGGTAGGATGAAGGAATTATTATACTCACATAGCCTGGCCTACATGTGTAAAACACGCATCAAAATCACTTCAGGCCTCAACCTTAAACATTTTTGCAACTGGCCCCACCGGGCCTGTGGGTTTGAAACTTACTGGCCCGAAGACAATTTTTACTGTCCCTCCTTCCAAAAATGTTAAATTGTTTATTAAATACATCCTTGAGATAAAAAAACTAAACAAAATGTAATTACAGTTAAAATTATAAAAAATAAAAAGGTTACCAAAGCAATTTACTTTGAAAACAAAACATACTCACAGACTCAAACATGACGTGCTCTCCTGCTGACAGCCATTTATGAAAACTGTACACAGAGCAGCGGACACGAGTCGCCTCTATCCTGATGAACAGGTTGCCATGGTACCGACCTGTCAATCACAAGGTAGTCCCGTCCAAAAGCATACGCTGCATTATCGTCTATTTTCCCCTAAATAGCCATACCATACCATAATATACTAAATGAACATCATGCTGTGTTGAAGAAGACTCGACTGAGACTATAAAATCATTTAAAACTGTTTACTGAGATAATGAATCAGCTGAGAAGTAGCAACATTTTACCATTCTATCTAATGGAAGTCGCCCCCTGCTGGCCGTTAGAGAGAATGCAGCTTTAAGAAATAAAATTTGACAACCTCTCGTCACATAAACTACAACTCTGGATTGGACATCGGTGTGCGCCAAGAGCTGCAAAACAACTGCAGGATGTTGAGTATAATTTTTTTTTTAATTTTTTTTTTTTTTTTAATACTAATGTTTTTGCTAGTTCTGTCCCGACATTATGTTTTACTGGCCTGGGCCATCAGGCCACCGTTATTGTCAAACCCTGCACTTTATTCTATGCCTCGTTCAAACACTGCCAGAAATAAACCGTTTTCACTAATAAGATCCTGTAAAAAACATTAAATCCTGAGAGTTCATACTCCTGAAGCTATTAGACATTTGAATTCTACTCAACATTGGGGGGTTGAATTCAGCATAATGCAACAAGGGCAGGATTTATTTTTTTCAGTATGTCAGTTATGGCAATACTGATACCCCCACTCTTAACAAGGGGGAGGGGTTTGTTTAGCAGCAAGTGAGCCTTAATCCCTGGGGTCATTCAGCTGTAGTATATCTGTGAAATACACCAATCTGTTGCCAGAAAAATGAGGTTGCAGAAGATACGGTGTAGTTATGAAGAAAACAAATGTATAAGGAAGCAACGGAGAGAGTGTGTTTACATCGTGTGTGTGTTTGTCTGTGTGCGTGCGTGCGTGCGTGTGTGTTCAGGCCACGACCAGGAGCTGACCCACTGCTGCACACACCCCACCCAGCGTCTGGTGGTCACCTCATCCAGAGACACCACCTTCAGACTGTGGGACTTTAGAGACCCGTCCATCCACTCTGTCAACGTGTTCCAGGGACACACTGAGTCAGTCACATACACATCTTCTCCAATTTCCATATCTAGTAATTCTGTTTTGTACATTATGTTGAAACATTTATATTTTTATTTAAAATAATTAAAAAGTCTCTATGAAGCTTGTTCATAAAGTTTGTAATTTTGTATTTTTGGAAGGGTGTAAAAAGCCATGACTTCAGCCTACACCTTTTCAGTTAGGCTATAATCCCTTAAGACATATTTTTCAGTATTTATTTATTATAATTAAGTGAACAAAATCTAAATCTACTGAAATTTAAATGTATGTTTTAATTTGTGCAACAGATGATTCTGTTTAAATATAAAAATATTCAGCTGAATGCTTGAGTATATGTATTGAATACAACAGTATATATAACTGTGGTTAGAACTTGCTACTGATTCAAGAAAGAAAACATCTGGAGACTGACACGCCCTCATCTTTTCCTTCAGTGTTAACAAACCTGTTGTCTTGTCCCGTCCCTCTTTGCAGCACGGTGACGTCTGCTGTGTTCACGGTGGGAGACAACGTGGTGTCTGGGAGTGACGATCGAACCGTTAAAGTGTGGGACCTGAAGAACATGAGATCGCCCATAGCAACCATCCGCACTGACTCTGCTGTCAACAGGTCTGTGGGCTGTAAACAACTCAGCAACAGATGTATAGCAGGTTATATAGCATCTCCAGTGTTTGTATTTGTGTGGCGATGGCCATGGAGAGGAAGCTAACCAGGCCAGTGCAGGATTTTATACAGTTAATGATCATAATTAAAGATCTTTTGTTATTTGGTTAGATAGTTGTTGTAATTGCGTTGAATTTTCATGATAACAGCACTTTGCAAACAACAGAGAATTTTAAAATAACTCTAGCCTAATAATAAAAACAGCAACACTCTGGTCCAGTTTGACATTTATTCTGTGAACCAGATGTAGGTTGGAAATAGTGATAAAACAATCATTAGTCCATCCACAATAATAATTAAAAATATTTGCCAATTTTCGATTTTTTAAAATGATTATTTTCTCCTCCTTTCTCCTTTATATAATTGTAAATCAAATACATTTGGGTCAGACAAAACAATTTGACGATGTCATCTTGGGCTCTGGGGAATTGTGATGAGCATTATTCAGTATGTTCTCACACTTATATTTGTGAGTTATTATTAGATCATGACTATACCAGCTATAAAAAGAGACATTTATTTCTCTTGGAAATTGTTGGAAATGATTATGGTCAGAATTCATAAACTGAAAAGAAACCTCTGACCTCTTTGGTCCTGCTGCTGTTGTGTCCAGGATCAGCGTGTCAGTGAACCAGAAAATCATCGCTCTTCCTCACGACAATCGGCAGGTCCGGCTGTTTGACATGTCCGGGGTGCGACTGGCTCGACTCCCACGAAGCAACAGACAGGTCAGTCAGTAGGAAGTGCCTCGGATTGGCCCCTCACAGCTTCCATACACCCATGTTTCCTTTTATTATGACCTGAGTTCTTGCTCTAAAAAAAGAGACTTACCAGTGACATGTTGACTGACTGCATACTGCTGTTTTTGAGGTAAGCGTCTTTTTTTCTTCTCCAAAATGAATAAAGTTTTGGATTGGCTCAGTATATCCCCAGTTCATAAATCATCAGATCATCAATTTGAGGCTTTACTCTTTGAGGCTCTACTTGATACGGTAGCAAATCTTCTAAAGTTGATATAACTTTGTTTGTTTTTGTAGTAGTAGTAGTAGTAGTAGTAGTAGTAGTAGGTTGGTGGTAGCAGGAATAGGGAAAGGAAAAGTCAGGTGTTTATCTTTTCTTTGATGTAGTTTGGTTATTAAACTTCTTAATTATTATGCAACGTTTTGATTTAGTTTAAACACGTAGAAATCTTTTACTATTGTTGAGATTTATCTCTTGCAACGTGTGATGTGAATCTTTCTAACTGACATAAAATCTTCCAAACGTTTATTTTGGTGTTTCTTGTTCTGAGTGCTGAATCAGGTTTTCCATCCTGAGTGCTCCACTACTTGACAACATTTTAAATGTCATGGCTTAAAAATGGTCAGAAATTAAATACAATAATGGTGGCAACGCACCTGCAAGATCTACAGTTTAAAGTCTAAAGGCAGAGATCTTTGTTGGAAACCAATAAAGACAAAAAACGACGAAAACACAAAATAAAAAATAGAGAAACAAATACATACAAGCCCAAAAGATTTTGTATTTTCTCCAAGTCAAAACTCAATATCTGTATCTCATCATTTGATCACATAATGCATGTCCTTGTCTTCAGTGTTTAACAGTCACTGTGTTGTCTGTCGTTGTTCAGGGTCACCGGCGTATGGTGTGTTGCTCCGCCTGGTGTGAAGACAACACCTCGTGCAACCTCTTCACATGCGGCTTCGACCGGCAGGCCATTGGCTGGAACATCAACATCCCCGCCCTGCTGCAGGAGAAATGACCTCCTCCTACTGTCACCTGACAGTGAAACTCCACCCAAAGTTTGTCTTTGGAATGTCAAACGCTCACATCCTGCAGGCTTAAAAGGTGGCTGTAAACAGTTTTGTTTCATGCTTTTTATTTTCCGTGAAAACTTGTCACTGATGTCATTCGAGCACTGACACAATGACAGACTTTTAACAGCCGTCTTTTGAGTCTACAGGAGGTCGGTTTTTGAAAGCCCCCTGAGGTCTGGCCTCCCCCAGTCTGGGTTGCACAAAAGAAAAAGGACTTGCGCTTGCTGTCTACTGTATCTGTCACGCTGTCTAACTCACCACCGCCAATATACACTGAACACATTTGTGTGTTTTTTGCGTTGAAGCGATTCCTCACCATCTTATAGGGAGGGGGGGACAATCTGTGTGCCACTGATGAAAAAAGCACAGAGACGTAACATGGGAGGTTCTTCGTCTCCTTTTGTTTAAAAACTAAAAAGCAGAAAACATTTTGCTGAAGAGTTAAATAAGTGACATGCTGCACGTCTCTGCTTGATGCTGCTTTAAGATACAATACAGCAAATCTAATCTGTGCCACTAACAGCAGATTTATGTTTGGACAAAAACAACAAACTGATGCTTTAAAGGTTAAATTCACTAGTTTTGTATAATCAATTTTGGTGTCTAGTGCATTTCAGGAGTTAATCTGTGATAATTTGCCATTTAGGTCCTACTTTTCCTGATTTCTGTGATTGGTGCCATTTAGGTTAGCTGTTTGTTAACAGTGTTGAAAAGTGGATTTTTCCTTGAGTTTCATTGTAAAATGTTTTGTTTTGCACCCGAGATTCGCAGCTGATACCCATAATACCATCAAACAAAACTCATTGGACAGGTGACAACTTGACTTTAAACGCGCCTATCATATACGCGCCTATCATTAGGTGTTAAATCTCATTTTGGAATGCAGCTCTCGTTTGTCACAGCTGGGTTCTGCTCAGAGTCTCTGTGTGATTCAATAATGCACCTTTTCCAAAATACCAATAGCTGTTTTGAATTTTGTTGCTGTTTTTAGAAAAAAAGAATGCAGCTTCTGTACATAGTCAACAAAAATTTCCCAACAGCGAGGTAGGATTGTTGTCTGCACAGTCAGACACATTGGGACCTAACCCAAAGGGGTTTATGGTCCTATGGCTGATAAAGAAACTGAAATTGGCTGGTTCATCTTCTTTGTAAAAGAGTAAACCCTCACCTGTGCTGGCAGTGGTGCTGTGTTAGTACTACGGTTGTGCTGCTGTTATGTTGTTGGCCCTCAAATTTTCACCATACTGGATGGCTGTCAGACTGATCCTGAACATTCACTTTTACGAGAAACCTGTTCTCAAAATCTTCTTAAATTAAAAATGGCAAAGGATTTGTTCCGCGCTCACTGACTGGAGAGCTGCCACTGGTGGCTGGAAGCTGTACTGCCACATTAATTATTAAAACAATGGTCAAATTAGTATTTAGTCTCAAAGCATGCAAAAGTAGTCAAGAAGTCACTATTTATTAGGTATTTATGTTGATTTCTCTAGCAGGTTACAATTTCATGTTTTAATAGCAATTTATGAATTTTGTTGTTGATCTTGTCTTGATGAAAAATCTGAAAATCTCCTTACGTAAGTGAGGTGAGCTCTGAACTCTTTGTATTAACATTTGGAAAAGTAAGTGAGCTTCTTTCTGGATCTGGATTGTTAATCTTGTGTCTTTTAAGCTCCTGTAAAGCGGACAATGGGTGTCACCCACTGTTGGCTTTAAGTCATTAACAGAAGAAGCAACGCCTCCTAATTCAGGAACACATAAAGCTTATTTTATTAAGTTCTTATAAAGATCAGCTCTAATGTTACATGTGATTTAGAAAAGAGCAGAGTCGCTTAGAGATGAGCCTGGCTGAGGGGGGGAGGAGCTAAAATGCTTTTTTAATAAATCTTGGTTGAGTGACTGAAATGTTTTGAGTTCAGTTTGAAAGCCATCCAGGACCATGATACATAAAACACAGGAGACAGTCCTGTGTGAGGGCTAGTATGTAGTCAAATGACTGCCAAGTGAAGCTTTGAGCCCCTGAATTTGAATCTGCACCAGTACAGCTTGTCTCCAGGGAGGAGACTGGGGTTTTCTCCCAGCACTGATGCTGGTGTGGTCTGTGTTCAGTTGGGAGATGTTGGAAACTCCTCTTACATTGGTCCCACATGTCGGCTTCTTCTCCTGTGTGGAGGCTTTAGTGTTTTGGGTGTGTTCTTTATTGACCTACACTTCTCCAGTGTTGGTCCCAGTTGTAGGGTTTTCCTCCAGTATGACCTCCCATGTGATCTTTCATGTGATTGATCAGTCTGCTCACAGTTTTGACGTCTGGATCTGACTGTGTTTCTGTAAAGCCATGAACCATCCACTGTGTGTCTTCCTGCCCGGTTGACAGTTTATTGTTAGAGGATAATAGATGTGTAGACATACGGGGCTTTGCTTTGCACCATCTAAGACTTGGAAAGGTGATTTCAGTGTTTCTGTATGTATTCAAATGAAATATTTAGTCTCGTAGAGCAGCACCTGTTGAAATGGTTGCTTGGCAGGGCTGGGTACCCAGACATAATACAGACAGAATACACATTTTTTTAATGTTAATTTTTGAGCGACTCTAACAGCCCCTTTCAACACTTTTCCGGGGATCAAGGAACCTTTTTTAAGAACTTAGGAACCTGGGCCGATGTTCCTAGCCTGCAGAAAGTCCCTGCTTGAGGTGGTAGTACTATAGTAGTAAACTATAACGAGCAACACGATGGGAAAAATGATTTCTTAAAGAAAGCCATTGTTTGTTTTAATAATGCTAATTTACTGAATATTCACAGTTCTAAAGATGCAGGGGACATAAACAGGAAAACTGAAAAAAGGACTTATTAGTTCCTCAGTTTAGTTTCTGGTGCTTCTTAGTTCCTGGAACTATTTGGTCAAAAGGGGGCTTTAGGGAGTTTGGTCAACTAGTATGTAATGTTGCTGTGTTTAGTAGAGTCAGGCAAATTATTTATACTCAATATAATATAATGATATCTGATTTCTTTCAACAAAAAAGGGATTCATTTAAAACTGCCTTCATGTTCGAAATATTTAGTAACTGGTGTTGACATCTTGGAATGCCCAGCCCTGCTGTTGAACCAATACTTGACATGATTGTACAAAAAAGCCACTTTCTTTCTAGTTTATCGCAGTGCCCTTTAGTCATTATTGTTGAAACACTGTTTTGGGGATTCTGTCTGTGTCACATTTGTTATGGTACTTTTAAAACTGGTGAAATCTCCCAAGAGTGTTGTGGTGCGTTTGCTTTCACCTGCTTTGCTATTACAGTGCCACTAAAACACTCAATTGCACACAAGCGAATGGGAGAGGCTGTAGTGATGTGTGTGTGTGTGTGTGTGTGTGAGAGAGATGATTTCACTCTGTTACGAGAACAAAGTCTGTGTGTCTGTCTGTACGGTGATACCAGTTAACGTCTAAAAAATGTGTCGGATGTTGTAATAACAGGCAGTTCACGTTTCGACTGCTGTACAACTGTTGTACTGCTGTTGTACTCTTCATGCCTTACATGATGAGCAAAGTAGTTTATTCAGACTAATTGTTTCTAAGTCCAGCTTTAGGTCTGTGGAGCTCTTTGCTGGTTTGTAACTTAAGTGTTTATTGAAAAAAGCACATTGACCTGACGAACACGTCTCCCCACAGAGGGTAAAAAGCACATTTTTGTGGATACCCACAGTTTTTTATGTGTGTACATTTGGTAACACTTTACAGCTGCCTTTTTGCACTGTATTAGCCCGATGAGATGTATTTCTAACAACAGAAAGTAACACACCATGTTTGTTAAAATAAAATTGGATTTTGAGGTGTTAAAACAGCATCATTACATTGAAGAGATTTTCAATAATCTTACAGTGCTTGTCAGAAGGCAAATGTAAAGTGGTAACCTCCTCTTACTTCAACATTTGTATCATGATAAACTGTAATATATTAAGAAGGTAGCCGATGTGGCTGTAGAGTTTATTTCAGCTGCAGCAGTTTTATTAGCCTTTATAACTTTGACGACATGATCCTGCATTTCATTTGTTTTTATTTTGTTTAAATCAGATTTATTGTTCCTGATGGATGATTTTAGTTTATCTGCCAAATGCTTAACATTCAAAAAAAACTGAGTTTGTTTTGTTTTTCCAGGGATGGCGAATGTAAAACAAAGTTTGGCATCTGGCTAATTATAAATTAGACCACTTATGTGCTTTTTCCTAAATTAGTTCTAGAAAAGTAGTCCACCCTGGTTTAATTGACAAAACATTTTATTTGTATGAAGAAAAACTTTGAATGTGTGTGTGTGAGTATTTGATCCCCAGTTTATCCAATACTGTTTTTCTTCCTTAAGGACAGTTTAAACAAGTTTCACTGCACTGAGCCACTCTGCTGCTGTGTTCATAATTCACCTGTTTTAACCGAATGTTCAGTCACTCTGTTCACATTGTCAGTCACAATGAAAGCAGATCACATCATCACTGAGCACCGGCCATCTCAGCTCCACCGTCTTGAAGCCTTGGTAAACTGTGGCTCCTTGGTGTTAAGTGTTTAGTGTGATCACAATGGTTGATGTAGAACAACAAACGCTACAGCTCAGTGCTCAGAAGAAAAAAAAATGACAACCTGTTGGCAGCAGTTTTGTGGATTATAGCTGTGTGATAAGGAACAAGCATCTGCTTGTGAAATCAAAATAAAACATTTGTGCTGTTTTCTACTTGAGTGGTTTTTGGGTTGCATATTATTGTCTTGGCAAAAGATTTAGATTCATTTCACTGAATGCTACCTGCCAGTCACTGCAAATGTCTAAAGGTAAAATACATGTACAAAATGGCAGAATGTTTTAATGTAACAGCGGCTGTTGAGTGTTTGAACCCAACTGGAAGGAAGAACACGAAATTGAATGCTACTGTAACTAAAGAAAACTGAAAAAACAACAAAAATACTCTTGAATAAATAAAAAAAATATCTTGTACGTGTATGTAAAACTTGTATGAGCCCCAACTACTTCAATTAGTAGCCTATTTAGCTGCCTTTAAGAAAAACAAACAGTAGAAATATTTCTGGTGTTTACTGCTTCGGGTGCAGATGGAAGATTATTTCTGCAGATGAGAACAGTCTCAAACGGAGCTGAGGAGGGGAGGGTTGTGTTAAACTGAGTAAAGGCTTGATCAGTTCGTAACCTTAAGGGTTTTATATGCGGCCCAGCCATATACTACATTTTGACCTGGTCTTTTTTTTTTATGAATTATGCAGGAAGTATTTTAATACAATACGAGTCCACTGTAAAGTATCTGGGTACACATTACATTAGAATTTTCAGCCATGCTGCAGCTGCAGAAGATTTGACGAAAGAATAAAGTACTACAGACGAAGAACCACACCAGGTATTTATTTTCAATGGACCAACGATGAGCTGGAACTGTTACTGACAGTAACACAAAGTAAATACAGCAAATGCAAAAGTATGAGTGTAGGCTATAAGTGTTATTTGTACAGTACAAAATATTTTAATAAACATAGTAAAACTAAAACTCAGTAGCACTGTGTTTTTTGCTTTGCATAACTGATGAGACCCAATCAGAGAGCCAAATGTGAGCGTGTGCGTCGTTCTAAAGTCCTCTGTTTTTGACCGTCGGCAATAAAACGCTACCCAGAGCTTTAAAACGAAAACGAGGTCAGCAGCGTTTTCAAACTTCTCCGTTTTAGGTCTTCGGATTCACCGTTATAGCCTGGATGGGAGGTGCAAATGTTGCAAAAGGTGTCTTAAAACCAAAACGTAGTAGTGTGGATGGTGCCTGAGTGATTAAGGTGTTGTCTCAGGCCTAGTCCACACGGACACGTGTATTTTTATAAACAGTTTTTCCTCCTTCGTTTTAAAAAAATCTCTGTCTACACGAAAACGCAAAAACACGCTATCAAGCGCTGTCCAGAGAATGCCAAACCACCAGGCGGCGATAAGACCCTAACAGTAAAGCCACGTTGGCGTACAAGCTGACATCAAACACAGCAGATAACAGTGCGCACTCTGACGTCGCAATGCAAAAGCTCCGGTTTTACTGTCTACAGACAACACTGCAACCGGAGTTTCTTAAAATCCTCATCCTGGCAGCAGTTTTCAAAAATGTTCGGTTTCAGAGACCTGATACTGCGTTTCCATGTGGACAAATGGCCAAACACCGTAGAAGAAGTCACGGTTTTGTGTAGACAGGGTCTTAGATAAGAGATTTGGGAAAAAACATTGAGAATTAGTCAGTGGTCAAGAAAAGGTGATTTAAAAAGACCACTCAACTAAATACTGGCGCTGGCCGTGACTCTTTCATATTAAATTTAAAATACCAAAATTCACTAGAACAATAGTTTCCTTTACCTGGCAAAAATGTCAATCACCGTGACAGATTTCCTACGAGACCAGGGGTCCCAGAGGAAGCCGTCACACTAATGGAAGAGAGAAATGGCAGCTGAGATGCAGAAGTCCAGTATTAATTAATTTATTCTCTGAGAATATAAAGTTAATTTAACAGCATTGTTGATTGCCGTGTGATTTGTGAATAATGTTTTTTCTACTTATATTTCTGATTGACTTAACCTCAATTCATCATGCTCCCGACAAAGAGCCTGAAGATAGACATAAATAACACCAATGGTTGTTTCCAGGCCTGGGTCAATTATCAACTTAAATTCTCTTAATTACTGACTCTTTACCAACCATGTTTCCTGTACTGCTTCAGTATGCCTTTAGTGTGTTCAGAGTCACTGCTGATTACTTACAGACACACTGATGTCTAGGAGGAGCACCTGAATAAGACATCAAGAGGATAGTGACATGAATGTGTTGCAGACCTCAACAGAGCTTGACAGGAATTATTGCACATATGAAAAGCATGACAAAATGACCCTACGTAGTAACTTTATGAAGATAGTTTTGCAACCCTGAAATGGAGGACCTTAAAAATGACTTTACTTATTTACAGTTTTTCTGCATTGCTTAAACCCATTTCTTGAAAGTATGCCTCTTTTTCTCAAAACTCTAAACACAAATCCACAACTTCTCACCCAGTTCTCCAAACATCCTATTTGCAGGTCAAAATGCAGCAGTCCACTCAAAACCATTCAGTCTTCCTGAAAAACCAAACTTTGCCCTCAGGCATAACACACAAGCCCTCAAAACACACACACACACACACAACAGTTTTACACACTGGTGAGAGAAATTCAAAACAATACTACAAAAACTGGTTGTGACAGGGCCAGAAAATGGCAGATGACTTTTTATGCATCTGGTGTGTTTTAATTTGCGTGCTGTGCTTTTTAAAGTTTTACTTAGTGGCTGGACTGCCCCTAAACATCACACCTCCACTGACATCATAATCACCAATGAGCAACAGGTGTGGAAGCCAAAAGAAATATGTCAGAGGCTGTAGTGAAGGAGATAAAAGCCCGGATGTGTCAAATATGGGGGGGCCACCTACAAATCTATACTGATGGGTCAAAGGCTCCTGAGAGCGGTAAAGTGGCTTTTGGTGTAAGCATTCCAGAAATAGGTTATAAAAAAGGATGTAGGATTCCAGATCATATGTCGGTCTTCACAGCAGAGCTGGTGGCAATTCTATGGGCATTAAAGTGGGTGGAAGATAATAAACAGGAGCATTCAGTTATATGTAGCGACTCAGCAGCAACTCTGATTACAATTAAAGATATTAGAATGGAATCTAGACCGGATTTACTTGTGGAAATTATGCAGGTGTTGTATAGAATTCACAAAGCAGGGTATGAGGTAGGGTTTGTGTGGGTACCGTGCACATGGGTGTGGAGGGTAATGAGGTGGATGTGGTGGCAAAGAAGGCGGTGCTGGAGGAAAGAGTTCACAAAATGTGAGATGGAAATGGAGACAAGTTCATTGTAGAATCTCGCCAAAGGAGGAAATTGTTTAGAGACCTGGGAGCAATTGGAGAAACTATATTTAGCATACGCACTCTAGTTAACTTAGATAGTTGGAACAAAATGAAGAAACCGATCGAATACCTACATAAAACTGGTTTATACAAAAGGAGATAGGTAATTAGCGTTAAGATGTGAATAGCGAACAGAGGAGGGCAGCAATACGCCACAGATGCGTCCAGTCTGCAGGAGGTGTCGTGAGGCATAGGGTGCGGGTAGACTGACGTGGGCACACTACTCTCCAGCGCTTCCTCTGTTGTAGGACGAGCGGCGAGGACTGCGGAGCAGGTGGAGCGACCCGTGGAGCTGCTGGGCCGTGGGACGGAGGAATCCCCAGAGGGACTGTTTGCCTTGCTGGGAGCTGTCAAATCACGCAACACTTCTCTCTTATTTAGCTTTTGTTTTTTTTATCTGTGGCATCACATGGGATTTGTTAGGCTGTTATAAACTTCTAAACATTTTTAAATTGTAATAAATGTATAATAAGTGTGTGTGTGAGTCCTAAGGCTCAGGGTAGCTATCCCTAGGTGGCGTTGTCGGCGAGCCTTTAACATATTTTAGTTACACCCTTTTAATTTATTCTTTTATAACGAACTGCCCACACGCGCCGACATTAGTTATGTTACTCGTGATTCTTCCGGTCAAAAACAGGTTGGGTCAAATACATTCCCTTATTTGAAGACAGCATTGCATTTTCAAAGTGAAAACTGGGTCTTTTTGAAAAGCCCAGGGATAAAATGAAACTAAGAAAGAAAACCAAAAAGCGTCAAACCTCTGAACCCAATTCCGGATGAAGATGCCTCTACCGCCGAGTAGCAACATCTGGGTGATGGACATGCTGTACATGTTTGGCCCCTCAAACACACGAGTGTGGCCATGCTTTTGCCAAGTCAAGGTTTCTAAAATGATTGAAAGCTGCTATTCTGACTTTGAAAGCCTTTCATAGGTGCAGTCTGTTTTTAGGTCTCCTGCATTCATGCAGTAACTATGGGCCCTACATTTTCTTGCAAATGTAAGAATTTATGACTTTCTACCGATTCAATTCAATTTTATTTTATTTATATAGTGCCAAATCACAACAACAGTTATCTCAGAACGCTTTTCATATAGAGCAGATCTAGACCGTACTCTGTGATCTTATTTACAGAGACCCAACAGTTCCCACCAAGAGCAAGCACATGGCAACAGAGGCAAGGAAATCTTCCTTTCAGAGGCAGAAACCTGGAGCAGAACCATGGCTCAGGTTGGGCGGCCATCTGCCTCGAACAGTAGGGGGTTTAACAGGAATCTGTTTATCTCTACTTCTGTCTCTGTTTGTATAAGGCCACTTCAAATACAGTTTTTACTAACAATTTTCTAGGTTAACAATAATTAAGCTAGGGGTTAATACAACAAGTAGGTAGTGAAAATGGAATTTCCGGTTAATTCTTTAATTTGTGAATATTTTGCCCAATTAAAACTGCATTTTGTGGTTGCAGCTGTTCATGCACACAGGAAATGGAGCTTGAAGTGGTTGTCCTAATAAAAGTTGTTTGAAATTGCAAAATGTTTTTTTGTGATTTTCTTTATTTTTATTTTGTTTTATAAAACCACCACAGACATAGTTCATGTAAAGCATGTTGTAGGTTAGCTTTATTTGTTGGATTACACTTTAGATGTTCCGTGAATAAGGTGATTTGTATTTTTTATTTGTATGTTTTAGTGGATAAGGTACAAGATATCCAACAAAAAGGAAGTGAATTTGAGTCTACAAATGTAGTCCACTAATCTGAGTCAACAAATGTAGCCATGCAACAAGGAATTACTTGTTATGTGAGTGCTCTGTTGGTGCAGTTTCTATCCCCTAAAAAACAGACCACTGCATGTTCACTATTTAATATTAAAAATGTGCTTGTTTCAGTCATACATGTTCATACAGTGCTAGTGGAGCATGCCATAATGTAGTTTCCGTGCAGCTGTGATGGCCGAGAGGTTAAGGCGTTGGACTCGAAATCCAATGGGGTCTCCCCGCGCAGGTTCGAACCCTGCTCACAGCGAAAAGCATCTTGTCAAAGATTTCTCACAATGAAGGCCAAGTCAGCACAATTCTACCAAAAAAAGTTTAAATCCACAGGGGTACATTAAACTGGTTCATCTCTCACTTGGTTCTCTCTGCTTCCTTTTAGAACAGGTTGTTTGACGTTCTGTTTGAGGGGTCACAACACCTGATTCAAATCTGCTCCCAGCAATCTGATGATGTCTGACAGCCTTTATCAACACTTTGAGGGCAGTTTAAATACACTATCAAGGGGATTTTCAAAGTGTTTTAAAATAATGTGTTCATTCAGTCAAAATTACTTAATGTGTGGATGAGAGTAACTCATCTTATCAAATATCTAAAGAAATGTTTGTTTGAAGTGCTCCTGGAAGTGGCCAATTTCACATACCTGACATGACTTTGAGCTTTGACTAATGCAATACAGGACACACAAACGCAAGAACTAACACAAATAAGATCATTTATTCCCAGTGATAAAAATATACTACATCCATTCTGCATACCTAATAAAAGTTTACATAGCATTCAACGCCAGTGGCTCTCAGTATACATACTCTTTTACATTCCTTACCTCAAAAACTTTTCCATAAACACCAAGAGACACTGACTACACAAGAATAAAAGTCTTTGGAATATTTGTAATTAAATTAATATTTAATAAATCTAGAGGACACAAAAAATAAAGGAAAACACTCAACAAAACTTATACTCTCTCTTCAGTAAAACCTGTATTACACATCTTGTAATGCAGATAATCCCCCTCTAGGTGGCAGCATGCCTTCTCTCCTGAGCCTAATTTACACTGGCTCTCTACAACACTTAAAAATGCATGAGGGTTAAAAACTTTAACAAACTAAACAGGTGAGACATGCAGTTATATCAGATACACATTACTAAAACAACAGAAGACATATTTTCTAAAAGAAAACTCAAAAACAAGAGAATACAATTTAAATGTGACTTGCAGTTCAGTAGTAAAGTTAATTCAAAAACTTTTGTTACTATCACATTATCAGGGAGATAAATGGGACTCGCCTCCCATTTTAGCTGGCCCCCTCAAGGTAAAGTATTGCAGGGTTAAGAGGGTTAAGACTTGGTTAAGGGTTTTTGGGATGGGGTTAGGTATGTAGTGGTAATCGTTTTGGTAAGGTTTGGTCACCAAATAATTAATATGTCAAAGTAATATAGTAATTGACAACAACAGGTGTTGTATGTGTTCATTCCTTTACTGAAGTGTTTGTGAGGACCACTATGTGCTTTAAACTTCTGAGGATACTATCGGACATTGAGGACATTTTGGCCTTCACTTCTACAAAGGGCTGATTGAGGGTTAGACTTGATTTAAGAGTAAAGAGTTTGGAATTATGTCAGTGAAGGTCCTTTACAAATGTAAATACAAATTTATACACACAGATTAAAAATTAATTGGTCCAACTGGATTATCTTTGGGTATCTAATGCTATCCACACTGGGGCAGCAAACATGACCCGTGCCTGTGATTCTCCATTCACGTTTACTACAACAAATAAGGATCTGCTTCCCATGGGACATTGCACCATTCATGTCATGTTTGTAAAAAGAAAATAAGTTTTTAAACAAAATCTCCACCTCCCTTTATTCTCACTTGCGAACATAATCCCAAGATTGTTAGCCCAATGGCTAGTCTTGTAGTCACACTAGATCATTTGAAATTAAACCTTAATTAGCTTTTTAAAAAACATTTGTAGTTGTTCGTCAGCAAATAAAACCAGATGCAGATGTGTGGTTCCCCTTTTAATTATCCAAATCAGTTGTGTTTTAGATATAACTTGGATTTTTGCAGCCATTTTGCCGGCAGCTCGTTGATACTTACTGTAGGATAGTTGTTTTCACAGGTGGGAGATAACAGACAAATATTACAAGGCTAACATACATGGCTGCTTATAATTACATTCTGTACGATATGACAGTAACACTGAATTATTCCACATGTTCCACATTTACACATCCAGCTCTAAGTGTGCAGTTATTTACTTATTACTCAGTTGCTGTATATTGCTTAGTTAAACTTATAGAAAATGTCTTCACCGTTAGTCAAGTGAGCTAGCTAGCTAGCTAAGTGCTTACAGCAACATTGTTGTTCAGGTTTGATCTAGCCAGATGAGCTAGCATTAGCTTCCAGAGCGGAAGTTTAGGCTACTTCAGCTAATGTTATGCACTATGACGTCTACTCCAGCTTTTGTCTAAAGTTGATTGACTTTTTTTAAATATTCTTTGCTAATTTGCATAATGGAGAATTCTTTACTTGTCTGTCCCGAGTCGCTCCAATGATGCCATTTTCACACAGTTAATAATTCCTCATTTAAGATAAACAGAAGTGAAATTCCCAATCTTCTTCTCTGTCTAGAGTGACAATCTTTGTTCCTCACTCACGCACTCACAAAGAAAAGCATACATGACCTTCACTTTAACCGTCAATATTCAGAATTTAAAACAGATTTTCACACATTGATGTTGAAGTGACCCAGTTCTGGAGGTTTTCTGAGCCAAATTCCAAGCCCTCCGCCCTGCAGAGCGCCTGTAAACTGCTGCATCACCCTTTGGTAGCATCCAGCAGTCATCTTGGAAGCAGAATATGTCCCTGGGGTGGCTTCTGCACCATTCAACTGAGAAAGAAAGACAGAAACACAATTTGCTACCATAATGGATAATGATCAAAATACACAAATAAACTGAGATCTGTTTAGGAGATATTTTGCAGTGTTACCATAACACACACTGTTTCCAACTTGAAATGTTGATATGAAGACTGGTGAGAGTAAGTGCTGCACTCATCCATTTGTTTTTTAAGAAGGGTTCATGTTGAATTCTCAGCTAAAATAACACCTGTCAATCATCTGTTGTACTGTTCAGCCTCCTCAAAATGACACCTGTCCCATGAAATGGCTATTTTGCACGGCAGACATTTTAACTGCAGGATGCTGTGCATTTTGATTGCAATGCAGGAAAAGCACAGGTGTGACTAATAACAAGGTTATTTCAAGGTTTCCCTGTAAACCACACCAGTGAGCAGCAGGGACCTGGAAATGACACATCTAAATGGTCGTTAATGTTATTGGTCACACCTGTGTTTGACAAGCCAGAGTATCAGCACTGAAAAGTCTGTTAAGCCTCTCTGACACTGAATGGACCTTTCAGTGAAATAGGAAGTAGCCATAGTTTTTACAATGAAAACATACTTCATGTTCAAAAATTCTGGATTTTTTCAATTAAGGTGAAGGAGTGGGTATAATTTTAAGAACTTTTAAAGAAGTGATTTAACTGTTTTTTTTGTGTTATAACAAGTATAATGTTCTTTTTTTTAAAGATGAATGTTTTGTTGCCAAAAGTGTTAAGACCATTTTATCACAAACTGTTGTGAAACCAATTAAACTAGAAAACTGTGTGTATTAAAGTGACTAGGCCTTTTCACTGCAGCCGTTTTGACTTTTCATAGTAGAAAAAATGTGGTTTCTTGCTAAAATCTCATAATAAAATGCTTTGTCTTTGATGTGTCAATAAAGTGTCCAAAATATAAATTTATGGCTCACAGTAAAATAAACCTGAGCTTGGAAGTTCATTCTTGGCTCTGGAAACAGCATGTGTGACGAACCTTAATTACTAGCTTTTTTCTTAGCTTTCAACCGCATCCCAAAGTTCCACACTTAGATCATGTGAAAAACATGTGATCCAGCTCCATGCGCTCACGAAGACCATCAGATTGGGTTGAAATAAGGGGGTAAGGCTGCGTCCATTAATTAGACTGTCTATGGGTCGAATGCTCTGGATTTAATGAGTACCCATTAATTTGAACACAGATTAAGTAACTTAAAGTAACAGTTTAAGCACAACATTGTCATTTTATTGTTATTTCATAATACTTTTTTGGTTATTTTACATGAATGATTTCAGTTTTGTTTATCTTCTCTGTGCTCTTCACACGGGTTTGGATTGGACGGGGCTCAGTTGGGGAATTGTGACATCACATGTTTCCATGCACCAATCAGACTCATTGTCTCTCTGCCCCTCATTCAGTCTGTGTTTCTCTCCTCTTCCTGTGCATGTTCAGTTGTTTTCAACATGGTCTGTCTTCTCTTCATGTGATATTTAGAGCATCTTTTCTTACAATGAGTCCAGTTGCTTTTATAAATAATTACGACTCTGTCTGCTGTCACCAAATTTTAAAAAGAGTCTGTTTGGTCCAGCAACTCTCTCGGCATAAATATTTTAATTCACAGTGGAAATTAAACCCTGCTTTTAAAAACATCATTACATTGTGGTGGTTTTGGCCTGAGACAGTTTGGGAAGAACAAAGCAGTTGGCAGACTTCGGCCAGTTAGCGGCGCAGCAAACTTGCATTCCTATTAGCTGACTGAGTCTGGAATGGGCAACGAGCCGGGCTTAGCAGCCACCCAGTGATCTCTCTGTTCAGTGATCAATACAGTACCAAAGTGATTTACAGCAGCACAGACCAGGACTCTGACTTTGGGGACGACAAAGACAAGGTGAGTTAAGGTGGGGACAGGAGAGACATCAACCGGGAGAGGAGTGAGAGGGAGGTGCAGTGACAGCTTGTAGAGCCAGAATATTTTCACTTCTAGCTCCTGCACTAAGGGTTTATTGCCACCAAACCAGAGCTGGTGGAAATAGTGTTCCACTGTTGGAACAGTGGAAAAACTGACCACAATAGTTTTGGTGAGTTTTATTTTTGTCTGTTGTGTTTGAATTAAGTGTATTTTACGATTCGTTAACAAGGCAATTAGTTTGGTGGAGTAGAGAAACTTAAATTCAGAAGATGTACAGTTGTATTTTTCTGTTTGATAAGAAAAATAAGAATGTTTCCTTTCTCGGCGATTTGTGAGTTTATTTTGTTTAGTGTTTATTAAAAAAGCTACAAGAGCTTGTGCTTGCACACATCTCCCAGCTGAAATTACAAGGGGGAGACCAGGGCCGGTAGGCTATTTATCAAGCTTCTCAAAGTGCCATTTTAGTCTTAAGTGCTGAGAATTCATGAAATTTACTCCTACTTTTAAACTTAAGAATAAAAGCAAGTTATCAAATATCTTAAAGCTAAGAATCACTCTTACTCTCCCAGTTATTTAAGAGGTCTCTCGAAGGGTTAGGAGCTGCCTGTAGGGCTTGTGATGGCCCTGTGGAGACAGAGACATGTGGAGAGGAGAGGAAGAATTCTGACGACGCGCAAGTTAATAAGACGGGGTCGGACAGCGCAGGCATAATCTTTGTCAGCGAGTTGGGGAGGGACGTCATCTGACTTTAAGCAATAGGCCTAATGCGTTTTCAGCTAAACTTAAGGTGGTGATGACACTTCCTTTCTTTGCCACAGGACAAACGCAGCAATGCTGATGATTTTGGCCGTCACAACCATCAATAAGCGAATAGTCATGGACTGTCACGTGTTTCATCGACTTCCCAACAACACCCCCGTAATCCGACAGAAGCAAACACAGTTCATGCAAATAACCGGCTTCACAGGAGTAGTAGGCGCATGTGGTGGCGCTCATATAAAGATAAACTTTTTTATCTTTAATTTTTTAATGTGTAGGCCTATATCATAATGTATTCTCTTGAAAATGATTTATTGTTGAATGTGTGTTGAATATAAACTCCTCTTAGGAATTTCACCATTCAATGTGAATTTATCTGAGAATATTCTTAAATAAAGAAATCTATTCAGTGATTGGTCCTTGGTGACATCGTCATCCAAAATCCTGTTTGCGGCACAGCAAAGTGTTGTGAATCAGCACTCAGACTGACACTTAAGATTTAGTCCTACACTTCACTCAAATTAGGACCATGATGCTTGATAACTAACTTTTAAGCACAGCTTTGAGCCAAGAATGTTTTCACTCTTAAGTCAATTCTTAGCAGTGTTCTTATGAGTAATTCTGAGAAGCTTGATAAATACGGGCCCAGAGTATAGTATCAGACTATCGCCTCTCAAGGCACAAAGTGGTATTACGCAACAATTCATACACATTGCACCTTTAAGTGAATGTTATGAGCATATTTCCTTTATAAGAATGTTTTTTGTTTTGTGCTCTACATTAGCTAATTGATCAAACAGATGTTTGTCAAATCCCACGATCCCACAACCAAGAGAGAGAGTTTAGGGACTTAGGAAAAATAAGCTCAGGTCACATCCCCTCCCTGCCTGAGCCCACTGGGGCATCTCCTGACGGTTTAGTGTTTCTGACCCACCTGCTGCTGCAGCCTCTGCCAGCGGGCAAAGATGGAGCGCCTGCAGAGCCGTGACGGCGTCCCTGAGTCCTTCCTCCTTCCTGTGGAGGTGCTGATCTCCTCCAGGCCTCCGTCACCGTGGCTCCAGTTCACACTGACGTTCGGCGCCTTCCCTGCTGGCCGAACCTCGCTGCTGCTCAGACCTATGCAGACGGAGAGGAAACCACAAGGAAAGGTTGATAGCAGATAGTTATTGAGACTGGTGTTCTCACTGAGTGAGTTCTCACAAATACCAATGTTTTTTCAAAATAGTTTGTACTTTAAGTCTCAATAACTATTGGATGGATTGCCATGAAATGTTGTATGCATTCATGTCTCCTTCAGGTTGAATAGTAGTAACTAAAAAAAGTATTGGCTATATTATTGGCTTAAAGGACACCTATTTTGATTTTCCATATAATATATATGACTTATCTACAATGTTACAATGTTGGATGTGCATGTTAAACATGGCCAAAGCTTCAAATAATGAGGTTAAAGTATTTAAAAGAAATCCCTCAGATTTCCTCCTGTAATGAACGCTCTGTTTTGAACTGCTTTTTCAACCAACGGCTTCCCCGTTCTACAACACACGGGGCTACACGGAGCCGGTGTTCCATATATGGTCATTTGCTCCGCACAGCAACACTCAGTCTGCTTGTACCGCTCACGACAAGAACAGCGTGGTAACATGCTTCAAGTCTTGGCCAATCAGAAGACAGTGAGCTTTGAGAGGGTGGGCCTTAAAGGGACAGCAGCATCTACAGCTTGTTTCAGACGCTGAATGAAGGCCTACATGAAGAGCCAGTATAAGATAGAAAATGATTTTTTACATTTAACATGAACATTTAATCATGCAAAGCTGCCATACAGGAGTCACAGATTTACAATATAGGACTGGAAAAGCAGTATAATTGGTCTCCTTTAATAATGCTAAGAGCAATATAATGTTGCAGCTGTATAGCTTTAAGTACAGTTTGGTTGCATAATCTGTCAGAGAAGTACGATATTTCCTTTTGAAATGTAGTGGAGTAGGTTAAAGTAGCATAAAATGTAGTACTTAAATAACAACCTATTGTACTGTAATCAAATACAACACTTGAGTAAATGTGTTTATTTCTTTTCTACCACACGATTCTGTCCCACAATGCATTGTGCAAATTCTGATTCTGAAAGTGATTATCTGCAATGATCACATTGTTTTAAACTTAATGTTTAGCTTTTTTTATTATTTTTGGTTATTGTAGTTTGTAGCTTTCACTGCTCATGCATGTTTATCTCAAATGAAACAGAAACGCATCACTTCCTGTGTAACAGCTTACACCTACCAGACGGAGTGAATAAACTGTCTTACTGAGCAGGATTCATATTTTTAGGTGTGTAAAACAGGACTGCATTTGGACCTACAGCCAAGCAACAGCTGCTGCCGTCGGTATGGGGAGGGCAGGTGCTTGACGGATGCGAGGCGGCGTGCCATGGCTCTGCCCAGGTGACCTGTGTGGCTGAGCGTTCCCACCGTCAGGCTGTGCAGGTAAACCGGCTCCACCAGGTGAGACAGGAGTGCCCCCTGGAGGCCCACAATGCTCCACCTGTTGAGAAGTTTAAAAGATGAGCAGCTGATATGAGGGCAGTCTGACGGCTTTTCAGCTGAGAAGATTTCCACTCAGGGCCCATTAAGATCTGACTGCCGTTTGACTGTCTAGACTGCACCAAACTGTTACTCCTCTGCCTGAACTGAGTGAACATTATATGAAAACCAGCTACAGTGGCCCTGACGTAGACCAGCTGGGTGAGAGATGTGATTTCTCTTTTACTTCTGTGTTTGAAATGAGGAAATGGAAAGGAAGAAGTGAAGAGAGGGGTAGTTGGTTTAGCAGCAACTCAAAGAGACTCCTGATAACACAACACTGAGGCAGCTGTGAACTGTGTCTGGTTTGCTTTCTTGGTGGAGACAAGAGTATAAACCATATTTGGTACCATAATTTATTGACAAAATCTGCATCTCATGCTTGTTTTCAAGTTATTTATTTCCATCTTTTTGGCTTTGAATTTTGACCTTTGATCTTCAGGTGTTTCCTAGAATAAAGGCATGTCGACTCCAGGCAGTTGTGAGTACTTTCAGGCTGACTAGAAAGCAGAAATGGCAGATTTTAAACTGCAGTGGGAACAGAGCCGTGGTGGAAGAAGTATTCAGATATTTTACTTCAGTAAAAGTAATAGTAGTACTAGTAGTAGTAATACCACATTTAAAAAAAACAAATCAAAGTGCTACATTGAAAATCTTAAATAGAATTAGTATTTAGTATTAATAATCAGAATCTGCAAAATAACTAAAGCTGCCAGATAAATGAAATATGAAAATACTCAAATAAGTACCTCAAAATTGTACTTAGGAAGGTACTTGAAATGTAAATGTAGTTAGTTATATTCCAACACTGGAAGAGAGTCATTATACAAATATTGACATGCAGTAAAGGATAATTGCAGTTTATTCAAAACGTGTCTTAATACAGTATATGTAATAATATTGTAGTTAATTGCTGAGATCTGGGAACAGTGTGAGGTCAACTGAGTCAACAATCAGATGATGATTCAGGTTGAAAGAAACAGTTTATCCAGATTATCTGTGGGCTTGTAATCCACTTTATTTGGAGGTAAAACTTGAAGTGACCATAGCTAGTGGTCACTTTAATAGTGTTTTCATTGCACATGAAAACTGTTCAGTTAGTAAAGTGGAAATTTTAGAGTAGATAGTTTTCTATCAATCATAATTGATAGAAACTACAAAAACAAGACCTAATAATATATCCACGTTTTATTACACTATCAACTGAATTGCCTTAAACTAAAAACATTTTATTAAATATCAGGACAGAGCTTATAGGGCTGATTATAAACTCACTTTGCCATCTTGTCGGTGCATGACATGGTGACAAGAGGTTTGCCTGGTGCCACACTGTCCCATTTCTGATTGGCTCTTCGTGCTGTGACAGGCAGCGTCCCCTCGCCTCCGTCCACCTTCACCCTGAGGTGACAGCGGAACCTCCTGCTGGGATCTGACACAAGCAGAAAACGTCAGGTCACTGGAGTGACAAATACTCCCCCCTTCCTCTGCTGCCACTGCTGAAATGCTTTTAAGTAAGGCATTTTAAACAAACCCTGGATACTACTTGGCTGGTCTGATGGAAGGTCTACCACTTTTGTCCAGACTGAAAAATCTCAACTATTGGATAAACTGGAAGAAGATTTGGTTCGGACAGTCCTGAATCTCTAGAAGATTAATCCTACTGACTTAGGTGATTTCCTGACTTTGACTCTAGTGGCACCGTAAGTTAAATTTTTGCTGTTATGAGTTAAATATCTGCACAACTATTGAATGGATTGGAATGAAATTTAGTATAGCCATTGATGTGCTTCTCAGGATGAGTTGTAATAACTTTGTTGATCCCCAGACATTTCCTCCATCACAACCATCAGGTCAAAATATAATATGTCCAATCCTGTGGTTTATGACTAAAAGTTTCTGATTTGTTGTAGCCTACTGACTTGTCAACAGTGTGGGGCAGTAACACGTTAACTAAAGGACCAAAAACTACAAGAACAAAGGAGAACAAGAGAGAGGCGGTCTTTCCACAGCTGTAAGTAGCTGCCATTATAAGATGCAAAGAACATTGTTGTCTATTGTAAACTCTTTGCGACCAGCAAAAAACTTCCAACCATGAACAATTCTACTTCTAATTTATTGAAGCATATCTGCTGAAGCAGGACAGCAACATTAAACTTACAGAAAGAAACTCCAGCAGCTACTGCCAGTGATGCTTGGACTCGTTTGGCGTTTAGTTTTTAATTTCAGTTGTGAGAGACTGCTTTGTTTGGGTGGTAGTGAAAGCAGTGTTGCACATTGATTTATCTCTCTCTCTCTCTCATGAACACTGCTGCACAAACCTGTCCAAAGTTAGAATACAGCTGAGTTGTCGAGATTAGCGACCCCCCCCCGCGCTGCACTTACGCTGTCATTCTGTGGGAAACACTGGAAAGTAATATAGTACTAACGTGTAACATAACTAGTTACTTTTATCACCCAGTAATAAGTAAAATAATATCACTTTTTTAAGGAGTAATAAGTTACTAGTAATATATTACCATTTCTGAGTAACTTGTCCAACACTGCTTGTCAATAATCAGAACCATTCTTGAAGAACAAATTCAATATTGTGAAAGTATTCTGTAGCCCCATGTCAGTACAGTTAATGTCCTGCTCCATCCAGGCTGTGATTGGTCGGTTCATGAAAAGTGACATTGACAAACAACTTTATGCACACGCTTTGATTAAAAGTCACCCAACCTTTTCTCTACTCTGTCTCCACTGGTGAAGAGGGCAGGAAAGAGTAACGTTACCGGCAGCTTGTGAGAAGTAAAATGTACTGGCTCATTTCAAACACTGTGTTTTTTATGCTGTAGCTGTCTCTCTGCTGTCGCTGTTGTGCTGAGGGTAATGATTAAGATGTAGTTTAGACAAATGGTGGAATGTGAGAAGGTAAAGAGAAAAGTCAAAGCAATGAAAAAATGCATATTATGAATGTCGACTATAGAAAGCAAAAGACTAACCAACATGTAGACATTTTTCTTGCACAAGAATTTAATGAATTAGAACAATGTACCATAAAGAAACTGCTATAACTGTAATTAATATTGGACCTGAAGTTGTATATGATGACTTTTATCTGAAATTATAGGCTAATGAATACACTAATATTGTCCCTAATCAAATCTTAACAAGACAGAAAACAGTTTTATTTGTGAATCATTTGAATTATTGAATATCAAAAAGCTGTTGAAATGTTACAAATACTATAAACAATCTGTATTGCAACATATATTAGTATTATACTAACATTAAACTTTTTATTTATTGTTATAATATTGTACACACATGTATATTAGTTACTCCTCCAGGTGGATAGAGTCTCTGCAGTGGACAGATGTATTTAGCCAGAGCAATCGCAGGAATATTTGCACCTGTCACCCCCTCTCTTCTTGAGAGCAGCACGCATCCCTTGTTCTGTTTTTACTAAAGTTAATGTTGCAGTATACACTTTATTAGGTACGCCTGTTCAAATACTTGTTAAAACAAATAGCTAATCAGCCAATCGCATGGCAACAACTTAATGCATTTAGGCATGTAGATGTGGTCAAGACAACTTGCTGAAGTTCAAACCGAGCATCAGAATGGGGAAGAAAGGGGATTTAAGTGACTTATTTAAGTGAGTTAATTGTGGCATGGTTGTTGGAGCCAGAGTATTTCAGAAACTGCTGATCCACTGGGATTTTCACCACAACCATCTCTAGGGTTTACAGAGAATGGTCTGAAAAACAGAGGTCAGAGGAGAATGGGCAGACTGGCTTGAGATGACAGAAAGGCAACATCAACTAAAATTACCACTCATTACAACCAAGGTATGCAGAATACCATCTCTGAACGCACAACATGTGGAACCTTGAAGCAGATGGGCTACAGCAGCAGAAGACCACACTGGGTGCCACTCCTGTCAGCCAAGAACAGGAAACTGAGGCTCCAAATCACACAGGCTCACCCAAACTGGACAATAGAAGATTAGAAAAACATTGCCTGGTCTGTTGAGTCTCGATTTCAGCTGCAATATTCAGATGGTAGGGTCAAAATTGTGAAAACATGGATCTATCCTGCCTTGTATCAACGGTTCAGGCTGGCGGTGGTGGTATAATGGTGTGGGGGATATTTTCTTGGCACACTTTGGGGCGACAGCCTACCTTAGTATCGTTGCTGACCATGTCCATCCCTTTATGGCCACAGTGAACTATCTGCTGATGGCTACTTCCAGCAGGATAATGCACCATGTCACAGAGCTCAAATCATCTCAAACTGGTTTCTTGAACATGAGTTCACTGCACTCCAGCGGCCTCCACAGTCACCAGATCTCAATCCATTAGAGCACCTTTGGGATGTGGTGGAACGTGAGATTCACATCATGGATGTGCAGCCGACAAATCTGCAGCAACTGCGTGATGCTGTCATGTCAATATGGACCAAAGTCTCTGAGGAATGTGTCCAACACTTTGATGAAAGTTCTGAAGGCCAAATGGGTTCCAACAAGGTACTAGTAAGGTGTACCTAATAAAGTGGCTGGTGAGTGTAAAGTGTGTGTGTGTGTGTGTGTGTGTGTGTGTGTGTGTGTGCGTCCATACACATTGGTATGGTGCCATCAATTACTTGAATTCCCCCCAGCCCCAACCTGCCACCTACTGCGGGTATCCATCTGCCTCCTGCCCCCACTGACCTCTTTTTTGAAAACCAAAATATGGTCACCTTAACATATAGCGCTTCTTATTGAAACCCAAAACTCTCCTGCAGCTGCATTGTATCTACTCTATTTACTGTGACCCTCTTTCCCTCTGAGGGATTCCTCTCTGTGTAAATGTAATGATTGTCACTAAATGGCAGCTTCAGACAAAAGCTTTTACTCATGGTAAAAACTGATGCTTACTGATGATGTTTAAGATCGATGAAAAATTGTCTGCATCAAACTCCAAAGTAGCTGCAGAAAAAACGTCAACATAGATTACATTTTATTCAGTCATCCATGACGAGAGGAAACATAGACCAAGCTCCTTAATGAAGCTAGAAGTTGTGGTGTTTATTAATTAATGTGTTCACAGAGTTAAGTGTTTTATGGTGGATTTTTTCCTTTAAAAATAAATGAAACCATCTGAGGCTAGTGGGTTTGTGCAGCATCTAAGAACAGAATATAAAGAGTTGCGGAACAAATAGGCTATTAAAGTACAGAAAATACCTTATCTACAACACTGCATTGATAATAACTTAATAATAAGTGTGTAGGAGCAGAAATGTGTCCCCAAAAATCTGACTTCTTGACATATTTACAACACTAGAATTCAAAACAACAAAAATCAGAATCTTAACATGATCATCTCACATGCAGCCGTGGTCTCGTAGGGGCAGTTGAGACGAGCGTCTCCACATGGCGACGAGCTGACGTACATGTGGAAGAGGACGCCGTCCCGCAGCCGGAGGCCGCCGTTTTTATTTGGTATGAAGATGGATTGTTCCTCACAGTCTGCTGGTTTACTTCAGAGAGGAAAGAAAATACAAGCAAGAGGAAGATTAATTCCAACTTGAGACAAAGACAGTCTAAAAGAAACAAAACAAAAAAAAGACTGACCACACAAACTGAAAACAGGTTAGATGACCTATTGATTCCTTTGACAAAACTTCCTTTATTACCACGAACACGTGCACACTGAAGTTTATTTTGACTAATACACTGTCCTGCTGCCCCAAAAACTCCCTAGAGCACCAAATCTTGATTAATCCACCACTTAAAATAGTCCCCCACAAATGTTTACGTAACATTTGATAAAAAACTTACAATGAGCAGCTGTTTTGGGAAATTACTGAGCTTTTTAAAAAATATATATATTTGTGAGGTGTTTTTTAAGATTTACGTCTTCAGGAAGAATAAGTGGGCTTTGGGCTTAGAGCCAAAGTCAGTAAGTCAAAAAGTACTGAGAGATGGACTGACACTGTCAGGGTCTTTCTTTTGGCTTTGCTGTAATCTGATACTGTTTCAACACCTTTTTATGTTTCCGATTGTTGAAATAAGCTATACAATAATAAAAAGGAAATCACCGACCCTGACGGATAAAGGAGGTTGATCACCATGTAAGTTACCATTGGCTATTAAGCCTTTTCTCTCTTATGCCATAACTTGCTAATATGCATATATCTTAAGCTGTCAACAATAACTGAGACCCATGCGAGCTGTGTTACTGGTCTTGTAACGTGATCAAAGTGAGGATAATGTTGCAGCGTGTAGCCTCATGTTATGTACTGCAGCCTTCAGCAATATCATTAATTGATTTTACTTCAGTCACAGATGCCGACACCCTCGCCTTAATAAAGGCCTTGATCAAGCTGGATGAACTCTACAGTAAATGTAATGTATTCTTTCAGTGTTTCCCACACACTGATTTATTTGTGGCGGAATGCCACATTATCAACTTATTTATTATCTAAAATGGGCAGCGCATATATTCGCTCAGCACCTCCTCTCGCTCGGTCCCTCTCTCTCTCCGCTGTCATTCTGTGGGAAACATTGTGTTTACAAACTATAATTTGGATTCATGTTGATAAATGTGAGTGGGCAGGAGGGTGAGTGTGAGCAAGCATTCTCAATGTGACAACCCTTTCCATTATTTCGTGACTGGTACCCTACAGGCCTGTCTTGATTATAAAGTAGCCTACTACTATATTCCAGGGGCGCAGTGTCAGAGATGTGCTTTTTGTAGTCCATCTTTGGGACATTGTAGTTTTATCACGGGAGGCCACGTCTGTAACATCCGCCGTCTCATAATTACGTTGCCTAGAAAAGAGCAGTGGGATTCTGTGAGCCCCGCGGTCCTCTTTTCCTAAGTCCTTATGAATTCTCCTTCACATCTTTCCTTGACCTCGATGGAAAACATCATGAGGTGGTTAGGAAAGGAGATTTTTTTTACTTTTCGGACGCAGCCACAGACACACAGGCAGGCAGAGGGATTAGCAGGGGGAACAGGTAGAACAAGGAGACACAGAGCAGACAAGGCAGACACGAATAACTAGAACAGAACAGACCAAAGCAAAAGCATACTGACCAAATAAACTACAAAACCATGGGATTTGTAGACAATAGGAAAAATACAGATTTCAGGTTTGGAGCTGTGGGGTCGTACCAGAGCAGCAGCTCCAGCTGAGCATACAGGAATTGAACTAGCGCCCTTCGGCTGATGACTTCGGCATGGCAGTCGCTGAGCGTACTGCCGTGGTCACTCATGTTTTCCAAGTCCAGACACTTAGTCCCTGTGCCCAGAGACACAACCTGGGCTGATCTGAGGTCAAATCCTGGATGGAGAAGAGGAGGAGGCAGAAAATAAACAGACAGAAATGGAGGATGTGGGAAAATGAGAGAAACAGAAGAGAGAACTACAAATATAAATAACAGCTCAGTGACTTGTTGATCAAATGACTCTCTGATGGAACAAGACATTCAACACAATGCAGTACAAACTCTCAAAACAAGACATTTCCTCTGTACTCTCCCTTGCCTCGGTGTGCCGTCATAACCAGTACGTTGACACGATGAGACAAGCTAATGAAAAGTGTATGACTGAACAATCACTCCAACGTCTCAGAAACAGGCTGTTGTGTTGCAGTCTGGCCTCATCAAAGATTCACAGAAGGGTAAAGATGACTGTCTCCCCTCTGGTTCCGCAGAGTAATTTAAGGTAACTTGTTTGTTTGAATTGCAGCGATCAAATCCTCCTGCACTGTTTAAATGATGAGCTCTGACAAGTGGCAAAACTTTTCTATCCCCCTTTTTCTATTTGATGCTGTGGGTCTTAATTTTTCAGACATCATGTGACAAAAAAAAGGGATTTTAGGGGTACTGTGAGGTTTCCCCAGGTCATATTAAGGTCAGTTGCTGAGCTAAAGCTAAAGCCAAAAAACTAAACTAAGCCATAACAGTAAATCAGATTCTGTGTCAGCGCTCTGCCGGCTTGGTTGACTGTCTGATGTAGCTGCCTTGATAATGACGCACTGTGATCCATTTGTTAGGTAACCCAAGGTCGAGGTTGTCTTTATTCTGTTTCATTACAGACAGACGGACTCTGTCTAGAAAGGGTTGCATGCGGTTTGATTGACACGCAATGAAACTTAGGTTAACGTAGGTAAGCACAGTGTCCACTAGAATATTCACATGTATACAGGGGTGAACATTAACCTTATTTAGACACTTAGTGAATCTCTGTAGGTCTAGGAAGGATAAATAACCCAAGACAGGAAGTACCCTTCAGATTTGGTTTGGTACTACACTGTGTCTGCATGTTGTATGCTCTTGCAAGTTTCCCTGGTCGGGCTTCAATAAACATCGCTTTGTAAGACATCCAGAGTTTCAGAGACCTTATTCTGAGAAAAGAGAAAATAACCTGCTTAAAGAATTTTCATAACAGTGTGGGCTTTGTCTTTAAATTTCAGCTGATCAGATGTGTCCAAAGTCAGGGGTTCGATCTTCTGAAGTCATAATGCACCACCAAGGACTGCCCAGGATTAAATGTGGCTGAAAAGTGTTTTGTAATTCTGGGATCAGACTACACACTATTTTGGACAGATTACAAATCACAGTCAGAAATTCACAAAATGTTCAGTTTTTGTTAAAACAGCTGAAGAGAGGTGTTGCTTCAACTTTATAAACTCTATCACTTTGGAGGCTGCAGTTTATGGAACTGTTGAACTGTATTATACGGACAGGTGTTTCTATTATTTTGTCCACTCTATGTATACCAATACAGGTGGGCTAAATGGTGAAGTGAGTGATTCCGTCTCAGTGTCTGATCTCATCTTCTCATATGAGAGTTTTGACCATTTTGTCTCCACCACTCACCTCTGGTCATTAAGATCCCTGCCAGGACCTTGTGACGGACATGCAAGGTAGAGAAGCAACTGTGTGTCAGCTCTGTGTATTTCTCTCTCACAAGGTGGAACATCGACTCTGCGAAGAACTGCAGAAGAAGAAATGGTAGAAACATGGTTTAAAGAGTTGAGGATGCACAATGGACATGTCCTCATTTTTATGCTAACTCTATGTGATTCTCCTGTGTTATTACTTATTATGAGATGTGTTATTTATTGCTGTGATTATAGGTTAGGATTATCTACCGGGAAGTTTCAAAGTATGAAACTGACAACTAATATTGCCACACCTGTTACTTGTCTTATTTCTTTTTTATCCTGGCTGTGTTTCAGTGTACCCATGGATGTACACACAACTATCACTGGATTACTTTGACACTGAGAAAAACTAAAAATGTGATGATTCTCTGGCAAGTTCTGGAGTTATATTAAGTGTCTTTTTTATATGATTTCTAAGCGGGTTAAAGGGGAGCCTTTTTGTAATGGACATCTAGGACAATGATATCCTCGGAATGTGCAAAATAAATGTGCATCATGTCTGTATGTTCAGATTGGACAGTTCTGACACCAAGAAGGAGTATGATGTGTTGCGCTAATTGTAGCAATCAAGGTGCTAAGGGCTTTAAAGTACCTTAATTGCCTCTGTGTGCTGTATGTCAGAGCCAGTGCAGTTCCAACTGCTGGCCGTGTTGATAAGTGGGTCAAATGAGCAGCCAAACTACAATATCTAATTTCCTGTTGTGACAGCATACACCTGTCCCTTTCACCTCTCCCAATATCTTTGCCTCAAGTCTTGCAACAACTTGCCCAACAGTTTGAAAACCCCTGATATAGACATCTTTGTGAATCATGGCCTGCTTTAACTTGAAGACTGTAACCCTTGATCCAAATGGAACATTCTGCATTAAATGGAATTTAAATAATAAGCAGACCTTGCCATCTTGCACATTAAGATAAAACCAAATCCCCACTCAAACAAGTTGTTCTTTGCATTATTGCATTTCTGTTTTGTCATTTAACCCCTCCAGTCCCCCCCGCCTGTCCACAAGTTTCCCTCACAGCCTCCCACTGTTGCCAGTCTCCTCACCCTATATGTCCATGCACACCTTTTGCTCATAGTCAAGCTGCACCTGTCCCTCATCAAGCCTCCGTGTATAAACCCCAGGCATTGTCCTGCTCCCACTTGCTAGATTGTTATGCAATTTACCTGCCATACCATAAAGTTGATGCCTTAGTTACCTGTGCCTGTTTCATGTTTCAGCCTGCTTGCTGCCTCTTTATGTAAGGATGCTTTGGATTATCCGCTACCCATAGACCTGCTCTGTGTTTTCAACCTTTAATTCAACCTGCTCTTTCTGGGTTGACTTCCATGTTGCTGAGTCTCTGAAATTAATTGTAAAATAAAGAAAAAACTGACTGCTTGCTTCCTTATAAAAAATGTCCTTCAGGGTGCTACCAGCCAAGAACAAAGTCCCATAAATTCACATAAGTAGAATGAGCTCTCAGAGATTTTCTTCTTGCATTATTCTTTCATTAATAGCAACACTGTCCTTTGTTTCAGATGCTTTGGGTTCTGCTTCCCTCACTGTGTGCTCACTGTATACTGATTTTTAAATACATTTTAAAAATCCAATTACCAAAAGTAAAAAGTGCTACAATGGCAAATGAACGGATCATAAGGTTTATAATAACCAAAATACAATAATTTCCTATAAAACCTTCTCTGCTTACTAAAAGCGTATTGCTGCTGTTAAGTCTTAATGTTCCTACACTTAACGTAAAGTTGGCAGGAGAAACTGCTACATTCTACCTATATTTAAACAGAGGACATTGTGCTTTCTGCTGTCTTTATTTTCACCAGACAACAGCCACCAAAAACACACAGAAAACTTTCAAAGTCTGCAGGGATGCACCAACAGCTGTGACATTTGCTTGGACCACGACAGGCTCGCCAAAAGTCTCTTGACAGTCTGTCACTGATGGCCAAGAGTTTTTTCGCTCTCTAAACTCCCCCAGTCTGTGGAGGGAGATGTCACACTTCTACTTGTCAAAATGTGTCTAATTATATTTTTAGACGAGTGCCACTCTTTTGGCAGACATCAGGAAGTTACAGTTATTCGCTATATGTAGCTAAGTTCAGCAAAAAAGCAAAGAGGAGCATCAAAACAAAACAGCTGTGTGGAGGCTTAATTGGAGGAGGACCAGTGACGCTTTGATAAGATCATATAAATATAGGTTCTGCAAAATGTTCTCGTTATTTACTTGTCTGTAGAATATTTTAAAGAAAATAAGACTACTCAGCCTATCAACCTCTTTCTTCAGTTTGGAGGAAGCAGATGAAATATTTGACAGTCTGAATTGAGCACAATAGTATCTGCAAATAATTCATGTTAAATAAATACATTTGTATGCGATGGGTGGATAAACTACACTTCCACTGATTGTCTAAACTTTAAACTGCATGCACTCTCATACATAATCATCCCAATCAGATAAAAAAACATACAACTGATTTGAAGGTCATGTTTTTAGCAGATTTAATTACATGAAGAATAAAGTTAATTTCAGATTTGTGACAGCATATTAATGTGGTCTAGTCTAGGTTAGTGGGCAGAGCACGGTCAAAGTAATGGCATTATAGTTTTACTGGAACCACCCGTAAATTTAACATGTCTGCTGTATCGTAAACCAGGAAACATCTCCAACAAAGTTCACATTTCAAGACCAAAGACTGTTTGCAACACCTGACTCATGACATAGGCTCCTCTGAAATGGATATTACCACTGCCTTGTCAAATCTTCATTAATTGATTAATTAGCAGGCAGTGGAACAATGTGTGTTAAGAACATTTTAATTTTTTATTTGTTCCATTTGGTTAAATGGACTGTAGAGAGCCTTTCTAATCAAAGCACTTTACACTACATCTCACATTCACCCACATTCGTACACTGATGGCAGAGGCTGCCAACTGCTCATCACACACCCACACAAGCCATCGAAAGCAATTTGAGGCTCAGTGTCTTGCAACATGCAGACAGGAGAAGCCAGGGATCGAACTGTTTTTCTGATTAGTGGGTGACCCGCTCTAGCTCCTGAGCCGCAGCCACCCCCTGTTCCGGTTGCTGTTGCTAGCTACAGTATATAGCATGTAGTACAGTAAATACAAGTTAGAAGTCATCTGATCAGTTCACACACCCTGCAATATATTTCTGAAAGCTAGGAACACACATTCACAAGAAGGTCATGTGACCTGACACCAACACAGATATCAGATTAAAAAGACAATAATTGGAGCATAAAAGTTACCTACAAAGTTAACAAGTTTAGCACTGATGAAATGATCAGCTTGTTAGACAATAATAAGGCCATGTCATGTTAAACTGGACTGTGTAGTGTAACTAACCAGATGAGTGTCCACTGTGACTGTGTTTTATAAATATTAACACAATAATGTTATAGTAACACACGTTTTGAACGGCCACTCAGACAACTTGTGTTATCATATCATATTGTTATGAACACGTAATATTCACCCTGTACGAAAACTGGTCAGATATTTGACATTTGATCTCTGGGGCTGATAAAGTTACCAACGTGGAATGCCTAAAACTCCCTTTAGCGTCATACTTCAACGCACTCCGGGAAGCCCTGTAGCATCATTTATGAATGCTAAAAGCAGATATAGGGAATAAATCACAAAAAAGTCAGAGTAAGGAGGAGGTTGGGGTGGATGGGTGGACAGGATACTGGAATTTCATCCAGGAGACCGGTGTTTGTTTCCTATGTAAAACAAAAAGTCAACAGTTACTTAACGTACATAAGTAAAGTCATGTTACTAACAAAGTTAATTTAACCCAAAAACTATGATCTGTTCCTAAACCAAACTGCGAGGTTTCACAACGTTACCACGTGCTCTTTCACAATATTAACCACTAGTTTTATTTTGAAAGTCTAACCAGTTGCATACTTATTATTGCTAACTTGACAGGGCATTGAATATTATTGTTGCTGACTTGACCATCGAGCCCTACATGTCCAAAAACGTCACAAAAGGGAGTTATAAAGCGACGCCAAGGGGTCTTGACCAAGCATACATATGTGACGAGTATGGAGTGAGAATGTGTTGCTTGTACGAGGGTGAATTTTTACATAACTCATCTGATTTAATCATATTAAGGCTTTGGATTATGCATAAGTAAGGGCGTGGCCACTTTGAGTCAAAGGTGGGTGCCATCACAGGTGGCTAGCCGTTGGCTGTCTGCTAGCTCCACCCACGCTCCACCTCTTTGCCCATTTTTGAATTAGTTGGGAGTTAGGCGAGTCAGGAACTGCCGACATGGGGACAGCCGGAGCCACCACACTGAGCTTCACAATCGCTCTATAGAAACCGATGAGCGACTTGTTTCAGTGTCAGCTTTAAATAACCCAATGTGTGTAATATATGTATGAAATTTAAACTCTTCATCTTGTTAACCGCCCTAAGCTAAGAGATATTACAGAGACATGACCTCGGTGTCTGTAATTGTCTGTATGTCTCAACTTTTTTTGTGGCCATCATTTTGTAAGAGCAGAGGTTTTTTTGGAACTAAACTCTCTTGCTCAATGTTTTCTGGATGACAGTTGCACAAGGTCGTGTGTAATGAGTGTGTTAAACAATTATCTGTCAGATTATTATGCTCTTCACACCGCCTTCTCGCTCCACCTCAATCTCCTTGGTCTGCTGCTGCTCCTCCTTCATCCCTAATGTGCTGTAATAATGTTCATTAATGCGTCACGCTGCCTGACAGACAGTTCATATTGAAGGGGAGATGATGCTAAATGATCAGTTGGGGAGGCAGTAAAAAAACTGTCTTCTAGACAAAGAGGATTTGGTGTATCTGTCTAAAGCAGGGTAAAGTCACCCTTTTGTTCAAAAAGCATCAAAAAGCTTTTTTTCATCCAAAATGTTACATTTGCTTCCTCCTGTCTCTTAGCATATCTGCCGCAGGGTTTAATAAAGTATCTACATGTCTGCCTGACAACTCCTTCCTCCTTCCTTCACATATTTGGATGACAGCATGCTTCAGCATTAGCCATGCTCAGTCACCCCCTTCAGCTCTGTGGAGCCGATGTCAGGAGACAAATCTTCTTGTATTCATAAAGCACGACAGCAAAAGACGTAGAGGACAATTCTCGGAGGCTCAGGGATATAATGAAGTTGTTTAGATGCTTCAGACGAGCATACAGGACACCATCCAGTTCTCAGGCCGCAGGACATGATGGCCATTCTGATGTGCAGCACACTCCATTTGGTAGCATACGGCGCACCTCAGACCCATTTATCCATAGCGTTTAGAAGACTGGTGAAAGCTAAAAAGAGAAGGGGCAAATTCAGTGTCACTGCTTGAAGCTGACATGACACTGATGTCTCCAATGCGTCTTCTTCAACATGTGAAGGGCATGTGCTGATACGCTGAATCTGAAATAAATTCCTTTTTACATTACACTTCCCAGTCTCCTCTCTTTATTCCCTGTGTAATATGCTGACTAGACATTTCTCTACAAATGTGTGACCTGGCAGTTTGTGTAGGGGGGAAAAAATAATAGTTTTGCAGTATGAAAACTGTAATAGGGTCAAAACCCGGCAATTCTAAGGGGTCAGAAGCACTATTAGGGAAGTTAGACATAAAATTATTCCATTCCACTGTATTTATTAATAACATAACAGACAAGCAAGAGGAATATTTGACCAGGACAACTAGGAGAGAGTAACTCACAAGGGGCAAATGATATATGGAGCTGCATACTTACTGTGAAATTATATATATATAAAATGGTGCTTGGTAGTCGATTAAAAACTGCATTTTATTAAAAATGTATCTGCTGCCATCTCTGATAATGCTCTCTGGGTTGGAGATCGCTCCATGTGGAGAAAAAGCTGAGGCAACATAAGAGGGGTGGTGATGGTGCATAGATAAGATGCTTACCTTTGATGTGGGAGACCTGGGTTCAATTCCCACTGTGACCCATCCACCATTGTGTCTGAGCAAGACACTTAACCCCGAGTTGCTAGAGGCGTGCGACCTCTAACATGTATAGCAATTGTAAGTCGCTTTGGATAAAAGCGTCAGCTAAAAATGAATAAAGGACATGGCCCCTACAGATTACTGTATGGACTTTTTATTAACACTGGCATCTATAGATAGACTGGTGTGGGTTAACAAACAAAGTAATCTTTAATAAAATAAATGATTTTAAACATGGGGGGTTGATTAAATATACAAACTTAACGGATAATAACGGCACAGAAGGCATTCTGAGAGCTCATTTCTGTCAGCAGACTTCCAGTGAGAGCTGTAGTTTCACAGAGCTGTTGTGTAAAAATAAAAGAATGTGCCGTGATTAATTGTAAGGAAAATGAAACATCATCTATTTTACTGGTATTATGTATGGCATGCTGGGAGAGAAGACGCAAAACAAAAAGAACTGTTCCTATTGATAATCAGCACTGTTTGTATAAAACTGTGGAAAACCCCGATGTGCTAGATCTGACTGTTATTGACATTGATATGGTCATTAAACAAATACTGGAGGAGGAGAACTTTGGATAGATCTCAGCGTCTTCCCTGGAACATACTGGCATACAAAAGATTGAAACAGATCTATAAGCACTCTATTAACACTTTATAATTGCCTTTGACTGTGTTTGTTGTATTTATGAACTGAATATATATATTTTTGCCTCAAAAAAGATCTTTATTAAAAAAAACAGAAGGCTGACCTACTCACCTGAGGTAGCTGATTTTTGGCCCTGCTGCCCTGGAGGCCCATAATCTTTCTCTCCGGTCCCAGACTTATGTTGTAAATAGACTGTAGGGCGGCCGCTGCTGCCTGGGCCTTGGCCAGTCTTTTGCTGTGACCACACCCTTCAAACACCTTCCCCTCCACCCGTACCACCATAACAAAACTCCTCATTGGCCTGCCATGAACTCTCTCTGTCAGGCACAGGTACCTGAGTCCTGGTCGCAGCTCATTGAGCAGCACCACTGGACTAAGGTGCTCTAAAATTGAGGTGCTAAGTGCACATCTTTTTGAGACCAGGTCTAGTGTGAGTCGAACAAGTCGTCTGTGGTTGTAAACGCTGGAGAAAACCTCGTTTCTCGCTGTGTTGCAGTGCAGGAGGTCACAGTTTTCACGGAGTGATGGCTCACACTCCTTGAGGAATGCGTCGGGGATGTCTAGTTTATCCGCTGTAAAATCCATAGGAGTTCTGGTGAAGTTCCCCATGGTGGTGTGAGCCTGGGAGGCGTTGGGGAACTGAATGAATGACCGGAGAGCCAGTTCTGCAGCCCTCATCTTGGCCTGCTTTTTTGTTGGTCCTCGGCCCTCAAAGTGGAAACCATTTACCTCCACACCTACAGAAAACACTGGAGCATGCAGTGGGCCAGTCTTTGAAACAATCTCATACCGCAGACCGGGTCGTAACTCGTTCAGCTGCACCAGCGCGTTTTTCTGAGTGACAGCCCAGGCTGCTCTTTTACAAGGCAAGTGGCTTTGGTAGAGCAGCCGTTCTTTTCCATCCACCAAAGGCTGATTCCTCTTCAGAGCTCTTGGTCTGTGTTTGGGAAAAGTTGTGCAAAAAGTTGATGGATGAAACTTTCGTAGTAGGTCACAGTCCACCTGACTTTTATCATCCTGATTCTCTTTCACCTCCAAACTGCTGGTACCTGTTGACAGATCAAAATCATGATGGGAAACATAACATGAATGGAAATTAGATATTTCTGTAAGAATCACAATGCATTTTGTATGTGTGAATTGTACAGCAACATGCACTGTGCGTAACAACACTAAGGACGCTATTTTACAACTTAAACTCACGGTGTGAAGCGCAAGGCGCAGTTGCGTTTGGCGCCTGTCCAACTCCAGTTTTGCTAGTTTTACATCATAAAAAATGGCCAGAGCACCAGGCAAATGAAATAAAGGTTTTGGACTTAGCATGAAATCGCTTCCAGCTGTCTTAAGATTGCAATGTGCCAACAGTTTGCCAGATCACATACCAACACTCCCATGGGCACACAGATGGACACATCCGATCTCTCGCCTGCTCCCAACCTTTTTGGAACAACGGCTTTCTTATTTAAATGATAGAAGATGCTGTGAATTTAGCAATTAGTCAAATGTTCAGCAGTGGAAACTAACTTTAGAGTTCTACAGGCGACTTTCACCTTTGGATAGAATCATCTTAAATACGAGAATGTGTCGCTCCTGAAGTGTTCACCTTTCATCCATCTTCTCTGCTGTTTACGTCTCTTGTCTACAGTCTTTTTTGTAAAAGCCAATTAGAAACTCCTATATACGATGCAGAGAAATCTGCGTTGTCCAGACAAAATCTATCTGGGGAAACTAGGTTGACATCACATTTAAGATGTCAGCTGACTGGACATGGCCAACTGTAACCTGTTAACCTGTAAAAACAGCATGTAAACACACTGATTGATAACGTGGTGCTAGTTGAAAAGTCAGGGGATAACTAAAATTATTACAAATCATTCTGTAATATGACACAAACATGAATGACTATCCAAAACTTCATGGGGTTTCATGTTAAGCACACACTATATGGGTGTTTTGGAGTGGGTTGAAAAGTATAAACTTAAATATGGTAAATGTAATACACCAAAATAATCAACATAATTTCAACATAATGTGGGCTAGATACTTGACCGCTGTGGTATCATGTCATGGTAATCTGTCCATGGTAGCAGACCATAGAACAACATTTTAAAGAGCAAGAAGGTAAAAGATTTACTTGAATTGTCAGCTGATGATGCTCCAGTATCCCAGTATCGTATGGGACTGATGAGGGTTGATAACATGTTGCTCGGCCCTGAAAAACAGCATCATAAATACGTGAAGTCATTGAACATTTTCTCCACAGCATGACGCAAGATCTTATATCTAACAAACGGAAAGATTACATTACCATGTACCTCTACATAAAAAACAACTCATCTGACATCTGACAGTTTTGTGTTTGTGCAATGAGCCCAATTACAGTCATGATTCTGAATGCTTACACTGCATAGTTTTCTATTCACTCCAAACCATAAAGGTAATGAAATGAACTGAGGTAAACACATTTATGGCGATAAGTGCAAACGTAATGTGTGAGGCCAGGAGGGCCATTAGAGTTCCCACTAAATGAATGCGGTGAAAACAAACAGAAAGGCGGCTTAGAGCCCGCCGGGGTAATTGAAAGGTGTCTGTGATAAGGACTGAGGTTTCCAGACAGGAAACATCGAGGGGCTTGACTGAATGAGAAGCTTTGTCTTGTTAACCCAGTCACACAGTTTTTGAATCGAGCACAATCGTTTTTCATTAGATTTCAACTGATTTGGTGAGTGGTTGTTAAGCTTTCACAAATACAGGTGTCCCTGGTGTGATTTGAATTAGGTATAAAATAAAATATTCCACAATAATATTCTGTCACACATAATTGTGTTTCTCCAGATTTACCCATGTCCTCTCTCACCTGCCATCACTTTTGTTTAGAAAGATGTCCCATTAATCTGCCCGTTTTGTGAAAAGTGCTATGATGGTTCATGAGGTCATCTTTTAGAGGGTTTGGAGAAACACTTAATTACTTGTGGACAATCTACCTTGAGACACCTCAGAGTAAAGTGAGTTTAAATCAATTGGCAAGAAGTCAGACAGACATGGCAATGACCGATGAAAGCTGGTGGAAAATATTCACTGACAAACAGTCAACTTACTTGACTAAAAGTTGCTAAAGACGAGACTTTCTTATCATGAACACACAGATTAATTCATTAATAATTAATTAAGTAATTAATAATTCATTAAAAATGTGAAATCACTAACATGCACTAGGAGTACTAACATATATTTAAACAGGATGATTTGGAAAACATTGGTCTCAAAGGAATTTGGATTGGTTTGACCAGTACAGATACACAAGAAATATGCCTTAAAGAGGTGGTATTATGCTAATTTTCCAGCTTCAAAATCTTATTTAGGGGTTGTACCGGAACAGGTTTACATGGTTTCATTTTCAAAAAACACCATATTTTTGCTATTTTGTCATCCTGTTGAATGCTTCGGTTTAGCTATGGAGTGATACATCTTGTCTCTAAAGGATATTTGTTGGGAGTTGCACATGTGCAGTTCCAAGTTAAGGACTACTAGCCAATCAGAAGCAGAGAAGGGCGGGTCAGCAAGAAGCCAGTAAACACGGCTTTGGTTCAGTTGTACATGTTGCCGACCAGCTTGGCAACATGGACTGGAGCAAGAGTTTCTGAGTGGTGAGTTATTAATCTGTAACAAAAGTATCTTTCATCCATAAAGTTTTAACTGAGCACTGTCTCTACATCACAGGAACATCTTTATGTCCACTGACTGCCTGGAGGGTAGCTAGTGTTTGGAAGGGAGAGGAGAGGTATGTGCTGCAGCTCACTGTTTTTCCACCTCTGTTTTTGAGAGCGTGTTGGACTAGCTGCTTGGCGAGCGTTATATGAGACGCATTTTGCTTTCATCCCTGTGACGTCACAGGGATCAAAGGGAAACGGCTGGAATACAAGCAGTTCAGAGCAGAGTTTTCTGTGGGAGATGGGAACTCCCTTTGGGCTGAACTTTGGACTTTTTCACTTTGCAAACCTATTACATGCACAAAAAAGATATATAACTCAATAAAGGAGAGGGGAAAAGCCAAAAACCATAATACCACCTCTTTAATGTGTCACTAGAGCTAGACCGATAAATCACAGGTTACAATATTGTTTGATTTTAACTCATCACAGATAAATCAGTATCTGTGTATATCTGCCGATAAGTAACAAGAAACGGCAGTAAAATACTGAAACACCTTCTTTTCAAATGCAGGTCTCTACTCTAACCTTAACAGCTTACTAGATCTTTCACATCTTGTGATTTTGGGATTTGGCTTCAGGAAACACCCGCAGCTCCAACCCTGTAATAGATCGCCTGCTGATCCCTACCAGCCCCTGAACCAGTGACCCCATTTATCCCCATTTAGATTTATCTGGTGCCCCGCCACCATTTCACAGCTTTTGTTTAGCAGTGAATGTAGACCAGACGAACACAGAGAAATATGGGCTGAAGTGGCGATAATATTTGAAATCTATTGTTTATGAAATATTAATGCCTCCCCCGCTGCAAGTAGTGCATGAATCAACATTAAAAATAAGGAGACACTGTTTTATTCATTTTAAGGCAATACTTATCTGTATGTACCAGTATACTAGTTACAGTTGTTTTCAGACATAGACACATTCTGTAGCATTTTGGGTAAACTCATATATTTTTATTTTAGCTTTCAGCTACTCAAAGGAAAAATAATTCAAAATTCCATTATTACCAATTACAAGCAGCATAAAGCTATAAAATGCATAAATCAAATGAAATCCGTTGTGCTCTGAGTTGATATTGCATTAATCATCAAATTCAAATGAATCTTACTGAAACTGAAAATAGTAGTATTAAATAAGTCGTTTTATCTCTGAGACAATTAGTACAGGATGAAAGTGCATGTTTTTCTGATGGGTAATTTTACTGCCTGTTTGGCTCACTTTTACCCCAGGTGGTGATTCTGGAGGGCACAGCAATGCAAACTAAAAGTCATTAGCATAATGAATATAATGCACACTAAACTGTTCTGCATTAACCTTGCACCTTGCCGTTATATTAGGCGTGTTATGCCATTAAGTGGTGGGCTGATATGAGTGAGAGCTGTGAGATGGGATGTGAATGCAATGATGTGAGTCTGGAGCTCCTGAAGGCAGCAGCAGGTGGAGGTTCGAGATGTTTTAATGACCTGCATCGTCCCAGCTAATGAGGGCATTTATTTTAGGATGAAAACGATAATAACTGTGTTTGTCTTCGTGTTATATATCGGCCCTCGCACCTTCCCACACTTTGTTGTACTTTTTCACTCATCTCTCACTTTGTTTCCCCTCACTCTCTCTCTCTGTTTCAAGTAGCACTTCATTAACTCAGGCCCATTTGTGAATTGCGGTATTAGACTTTACACTTGATTTAAGTAGAGGTTAACCAGGTTGCAACATGACAAATGATTTGCTTAATCTACCTGTAATCTTCACAAGCAAATCTGCCAAATGGGCTTGTGCAACAATTTAGAGATGAAATTGCAGCTGCTGTTTTGCAGCACAGGTTGGCATATGTGAAGGTTCCCAGGTTTAAAAAATAATTGAATATACATGACATCTTTTATATAGTCAGGTTGTCCATTCACCACTATAAATGAAAATATATAAGATCTGGGTAGAACCACTTTTGCTTGTTGTAAGGCTATTTGAAGTTACAAATGTTGTAGTTATTGTTGTGATACTACAGTATCTCCCCCTCATCCCTTGTGTTTTCATTTGTTTCCCCCTTCCCTGTGTTGTCTGTGTGTTTGTCTGGGCGTAGCTATACTCTCTGGCTCCTGCTGCCACGCTCCAGTTAGGCACCAGGGCCGGCATTTATCAAGCTTCTCAAAGTCTTAAGTGCTGAGAATTCATGAAATTTACTCCTACTTTTAAACTTAATGTAACCCAGTATAAATAGCAGAGTATAAAAGAGTTCATTATAAGTAAATTTGAGATTAAACGTCATTTCATATTGATGAACAAGGTAAAAATATGGTGATGTGTTTTTGTTCAAATTGTTGTATGTTACACATATGTTGTATGATAAATAACACTAAAAAGATAATGTTTTAAAAACATGTTATGAGGAGTTCATGGGTTGTAAATACAACTGGTAAATCTGTGGTAATTGTACTGGAGTCTTAATAGTGGGTTTTCATTGGTTGATGGGCATGAGAGAAGTGCATGATCAGGTAGTGAGCAGGTGCGGGAGGGACGAGGAGGGAGAAAAGGAGTTGGGAGAACTGTATTAGCTTGGCAGACGAAGTAAAGTCAGAAATCTTTTACTAACGTTCATACCAAACTGTGGACTAATTTCGGGATTGTCTACTCGACAGTCTGTGCTGGGATTATGTTTGCTAGTTCGTGGGAAGTCGAAGAATCCACCGAGGAGTCTTGATTGACTGTTTCACGGGGTACTTAACGCTAGATAAAATAGTCGCACAGTAGCTAAAGAAGCAGCATAGTAAGCAACATAGTACATTCATTGGAAAAGTCAATGGACAGTATATCTTCAGTTAGCTAACAAAGTTAATCAAGAGGACTTATACAACGTTTTCAACAAACACATCACAAAAACTCACAGAACTGCACCAGATACCAGGTACTCTTTTACTTTATTTTACTGCTCATTGAAACGACCATTTGGTTTTGGATCTCAACGTACATGAGCCACGCATGAGGCGTGCAACGTTGTTTCAAGTGGGTTTGCATGTCTGAGTGTTATAGTGTGGGCCCACTGATATTTGTTACAGTGAACTGTGGTATTGTTATCTTGCCACAGAACTACTGAATTACCTCAGATCTTGTGTGAAAGGAGGGAAACTTGAAATTTGATTTATTGTATAATGTGCTAATTGTTTATTTTGCTTTTATTTTATTTAATATTTTGAGAATATTCTTCTTTAATCATATACCAGAGTGGTGTTGTTTTATTGTTTTATTTGAAAACCAGTTATCATATTTGAGTTTCACATATTGACTACACGGGAAGCTAAGATAGTTGACATTGGGTTTCAGTGTTGATATTAAGAAACTATATTCTAAAAGAACTCAGGGCCCTGCCCAAACTTACTTTCTTGAGGGTGGGAGTGCTACATTAAGAATAAAGCAAGTTATCAAATTTCTGTTAAGAATCACTCTTACTCTCCCAGTTATTTAAGACAGCTCGAGAGGTCTCTCAAGTGGTTAGA